TGTGTTGCCCGCCATTTGTTAGTACTTTTGGCCCATTTACCGGGATCGCTCTTCCCACACATCAACGGTGATCAGTTCTCCAACTAGTGTGACTGATTTCATTGCCTAGTCTCCTGCTATATCTGCGTTGAGCGGATGCAGAGTTTATCCCGCGAACTAACGCAGGGTCCTTGGCGGTGATTAAACCGCATTTCTTCGGCGGTGCCACCTATGAAAATTTTCTGGAGTACTATCACCTCCTCCAGGGATCAACGCCAACATTCCTCGATACACCGTTGTATTCCTTTGTCTTTGGAAAACTGTTGGATCTCAAAAAATTTCTCGGTTTGGTCTTTTATCATGCTGCGCTCCTTTTCGTCCCTCTCTTCCCTGACCACTAAACACCTTTCTTACCCCTTTGGGACAACTTGGTTGGTCCGGTGCCCTGCATCGGTATATGACTGTGCTCCGAGCTTCTCCATTTGCCAAGCTTGCTAGAAATAGGGAGATTTTATCTATAAAAGGGCTTGATGAACTCGGTCAAACTGAGCTTTCAAGACATCAAGCTTTCTCTCATCAAGATTATATCCTCTCCTCGCGGAAATTCCCAAGTCTACAAGTTTCCCATCCGCAGTCAAGTCATCAATCCATTGCAATTGCCTTCAGGCCTCCTTTCACCTTCTATCTGCCTTATTTAAACGTCCCCTATACCAATTCGTCTTTTGCGAAAATGTGCGTCCAGTGGTGGGAAAAGTTCGAATGCGGATGCACCGCCCTCGTTGGCAATGTGGAGTCTTGTTCGTCTATGCAAGCCTCAGGAAACCAGTCTTCAGGCACGAAGTACTCCGGCAGCCAGGGCAATCAAGGCTCTGGGTCGCAGTGCCCCAAGAACCCGGGCGTCGAAATGAGAAAGAAATATACCATCCGCCCAGGTAACTGTGTTAAGCACGGCGGCAGTGGTTGATCCACCGGTATGGGATTTCCCTCCTGATGAAACGAGACGTCCGTGAAACTAGAACTATGTTTCTGATTTTTTTTTTTTTCCCCAGTCGGAAGCCGCAACAAAAAAGCCTTGTCTCAGCATGCGTTCTTTGTGTCTTCTCCCTTTTCAATCGACTTGACGATGCACGCCGATAGACCTTTATTCTTCTTTCCCGGAGTTTCGAATTCTGAGACTAATCCCATTAGAAGCGACATGGGTCTTTTCTAGCTGCTCCTATCGGATGGCGACGACAGATAGATAGCCCCATCGTGGACGCAAACCAAAGGGGTGTTTTCGTTTAATTTTTCAACCTTTCCTTTCTCCTAGAAAAAAGCAGAAAAGAGCCACAAAAAAAAAAAATCTCTTACCGTTTCATCTCTACTTTTCATTCTCTATAACTTTTTCGGGCCTGGTGACTGCTTGAAAGGGGTTTTCTGGACGGATATGTGGGAAGAATGGTATTGACTGCCTCTCTATCCCCCCCATCTTTCTGGCTTATTGTTTGCTACTACCACGTAATTATCTCTTCTTCCTTTTTCTTCTTTCTTTTCCCCCCTTGGATATGTTTGCAGATACTTAAATGAATCCTACATAATGAATACTATCTTTTTTGTGGGGGCTTTACTTTCGACATAGTTCCTTTATTTTTTTTTTTTCCATATCAACCACATTTTCGCTTTGGTGAGCGATTTTGCGGTAATTCCACTAATTCCAGCTGCTCGCACCGAGTCGTTCTTTTGTCCCTCATCATACTAAGAAGAGAAGTCACCGACCAATCTTTCGCATCCTGGTTAAGTCTTAGCTACAGGGCCAGATATTGGGCGCAAGCAACAATATGTGGCTTTCTTGGAAGGGGTTTATGGTAGTCATGTCATGATACGGCAGTGATATGCTTGACTGCTGCAAAAATAAAATAAAAAATTGATTAAATGACAAAAATAGAGAGATCCAACATCGGTACATGATAAATCTCCCCATGCATATCGACGTGCTCCCCTCCGTGCAGGGATTCCTTGGGGTTCGAGTCGTTATCCCTGCTCCGAGGATGGTGTCTGCGAGGCTTCCATTGGATGCAGTTACGCGACTGACTAGGGAGTAAACAACTACCCAACGCTCCTCTGTTATATAGAGCTGAACACCACCACCACGTTCTACATTTTTAATATACGTAGATTATATTGGAATAAATGAAGAAAGCTGCTCACGCGGGCATTCACACCACAGAACAAGCTACGACAAGTGACTGCCTAGGCACGTCGTACGCACGACCGTAAGTATCGAAGTCCGAGAAGCCAAGCTTCCAGGCATTAAAACGCTCCTGCATATGGGCTCCGGGCCTCGTGTGCGGCACAGCAGACTTTGGGCCAACCTTGCTACGACACACGGCCTCGGTCGGGATAGGAACTGAGCGGTTAACGAGCTCAGGTGTACCTCATATGCTCACTTACGGTAGGCCCGAAGTAAGACTTCATTATCGACTCGCGACAGACCCCAGAGAAAGGTATCATGTTAATATTAAGAACGCAAGGACTTTCGGCCTATCGACTCTCATATCTTCGGTTTTGCAAAGGAGCTAAAAGTATAATGGATGCGTAGCAGGGACTTCTTTCCGGTCATTGGCTGCAGGATATGTAAGTTGAAATGCATCATGTACGAAGTAAAAGGTCAACCGTTCCGCTCCGGGAAGATCTACCCGCGCTAGAATGACGTATCATACTCGCCAGATAGCTCTTCGGGAGCGGGAGGTACATCTTCCGCAGCAGGAATTTTCGCTCCCGTAGCATAGAGGGTTTCAGGCCTAAAGGTTTAGCATGCGAATGTTTCTGCGGTACGGGAACTTGATATGGATTGCCGCGAGACCAGTCTCGAGCCCAAAACCGATATCCAGCCCCCGAATGGTCATTAGGCGGCTCTTCAGTCGGGGTTTGTTGCCACAAACGCCTGCCAAATGTCCAGTGTATCCTGGCCTCTATCCATTCCTTGTTCTCAAGTACCCCCATACTACCGTTTCAATGGCTTGAAAGGCCGTGGGAAAACAGGGCCAAGGCTGTGGCGCTAGGGATATGCTGCACACCAACAGTGCTCATGGGGTGGAAACCGGGAAGGCCCGAGATATGGCATTTACGTTGCACTCCGCAGATCAAATTTATTTGTCATCTTTGGCCTGAGAATCGTCAGCATAATTCTTCAGCGGATTCTTTGTTGGTGTTGGTGATGATTAATGCGAGGTAACCTGAAGGTTCAAATGGAAGCAAAACACCAATACTAATTTGACATATCACTTTTCGTGTGAAGAATCAATGCAAATATGGCACAACGGTTATGATGTACAACCACTTTGCGGTTCTATACTCCGTATGGCATCCGAAGGATGCGGCGCATCAGTTGGGTGGCTTGGCGCTCGGGTGCCACTGGGTTCCCGTGCCAAAAGACGCCGCATTCCCAAAGGAAACTAAAATGTTGGAAACAAATATTTCAGGCGGCGGGTTTTAGTTGAATCAGGCGCAGCTGCTGTGTACTCACGAGCTAGATTCAAGGCACACCCCTGAAACCGTAGCGATACCCCAGCAAAGCTGCACGGTTGCCAACATATGCTAACAGTCATGTGATCTATACTTTGGTCCGACAGGAGGACAGCAAAAGCACTCCAACTACCAGGTAAAAGGTAGGTAGCACCGAGGGTATCCGACGAGACTAGGGGAACTTGTACAGCATGCATTGTGTCGTCGGCATTCACAAGACCGGCCATCGCATGCGAGTGTACCGGAGCGCATGGGTGAACGACGAGGCATTCTCTCCCAATTTCCTAAATGGAAGACAAGCGCAACAGAGTTCTGACTAAATCATGCTTAAAACCCTGATCAGCGACCAGGTCGGTGGCCGAGGGTGGTGGCATCGGACAACGGCACTCGCGTGTTCCACAAAAGCCTTCCTCCATCAACCATTGGTAGATTTGGCCAGATGAATTTTATGACTCGCAGAAAGTATCCATGACCGAGGCCAATGGACGTTGGCATATTGCCGCGATTACCTTGGCTCTTTTCCACAGTCGCTCCATGCAGCTTTCGACCGCCACTCATCCGACTGCAGGGTGACAGGGCGCACCGTAGTCTGATTAGCAATTTTTCCAAGCACGATGTGGCCAGAACCGGTCATCGGAGCGGTCTTGGATCTAGGGCCGCTCTAGCGATGTGCACGCAATTGTAATAGAGTCATTCTGCTAGGACGCTTAATCGAGCTTCAAAACTTGCATCTCATGCGCACGCACACAGACACGGGTTCACCTCCCGCTGCGAAGATCATCGACCAACATTCAAAAGTACCTAGATGTACCTCCATCCTTGCCATTTGTCTTAAACCGGCTCTTCATACAACCAATAACGTACCAAATCAGGGAACCACTTTGGAAATAACCTATAGCGTGAAACAGCGCAGCTCGGCCTTGAACGGGATGAAAGACGATATGACAAGCATGTCAAACATGCTGTTTAGCAATGCATCGTGTCAGTTGTTGGGAGACACGCAAGTGGAATCACCCGACTCCGGCCGGAATAGGACGCAAATGGCAAGAATTTTCCTCTGTATATGCCGGAAGAGAACATGGCGCACTGCGAAGATCATGCGTGGCGTTGGTATGCCACGCTCCCTTCTCAGCCATATAGCGATGTCACATGGCTTTGCCAGTCTGAAGCCCTTATATCAGTTGGATGTCAAACAGACAATCGCGGCTTGCGGTGGGGAGTCATTCTGCTCACGCAAACCCCAACAGTATTAAGCAAAAAAAGGATATCAGAGGACATTCGATTGGCTCTTTGGGTCCTGTAGCACTGTGCAAGCCCTCGTACTACGAGCACGGAGCACTTGTCGGCATCGCATCTCGAGGAGGAGGTCAAACCCGTGCAGCGTGCCTCTTCAGGTCTCTCGTCAACTCATTTTGGACCGTCGTGAAATCACGTGATATACTGTGAGTGACATCAGCGATGTCGAGGTTTGCGAGACAGAACGACAGCGACCACCAGCAATCCATTCCACTCATGTAATGTCCATAGACATCAACTGGGAGGCCGCAACCTCAGGGCCAGATGGCGAAGCCCTTGCGGAGCGCATCCGCTCATTCATCCACGACAAGTTCCAGCAAATCGCCCTTCCTCGATTTATACGCTCCGTCGAGGTGAACTCCTTCGACTTTGGCACGATCAAGCCCGAGCTGCAAATCAAGGATTTATGTGATCCGTTCGAAGACTTCTATGAGGAGGATGAAGACGACGAAGTCGGAGATGGGGAGCTGTCAGATATCCAGGACAGATCACCGAAACCTCGACCTTCCAGCGCTGGAAATGAGCGGAGCGCGGCGGACGCGTGGCAAGCGGAACATCCTGCGTTCTTAGATGACCGGCTATGCGGCAGAATCGGACCCCATGATGTCCCGATACCCTCGAAAGAGGATCCCCTAGCATCGAGGCCGATGCGATCTCCAATGTCCTTCGGGGATCCCTTGAATCCCTACTTCTTTCCGCGGGCTGGCACCCCCGGGATTCCGGGCGGTACTTCGAATCTAGGCTACTACTACATGCCTCTTGGCGGAATATCAGGGACACAGACGCCTCTCTCTTCAGTCCCTCGCGGCCCGTTCTCCCCGGGTCTACGTGATGCCTCTGTCTTTGGAGAACCTTCTAATTCGCAACGACCTAATCCTTTGGGTCCCGCCCGTCGTCAGTCTGAAATTGACATTGACACCGGGAATTCCAGGCCATCGACTGCAGATACTTTGAATTCACTCAATATCCATGGTATCCCCGACCCAGTGCTACCCCGCTCATCTGACGATGCACATCCAAATGTTCTTCCCCGGAGAGATAATAGCCCTGCTCCGCGCCGTGTGCGCGAGAAGAGACCAGAAGACCTTCAAGTTCTATGCCGATTAAGATATAACGGAAACATCCGACTCTCTCTCACAGCCCAGGTGCTCCTCGACTATCCCATGCCAAATTTCGTTGGTTTACCCTTGAAGCTAAACATCACCGGCCTCACATTCGACGGTGTCGCCGTGGTTGCGTATATTCGAAAACGAGTACATTTTTGTTTTCTGTCTCCAGAAGATGCGGACACGCTATTTGGAGCGGATGACACTAATGAAGCAGGGCATTTACAGTCCAGAGACTCGCTGGCGGGTGGAATCAATGACACAAGTTACTCCTCCCGACGACCGCACGATAGTCTTCTCCGCGATGTCCGGGTGGAAAGCGAAATTGGTAGAAAGGAAGACGGAAAACAGGTGCTGAAAAATGTGGGCAAAGTCGAGAAGTTTGTCCTGGAGCAAGTTCGTCGAATTTTTGAGGAAGAATTTGTCTACCCTAGTTTTTGGACGTTTCTGGTATGAAAGGAGTCTTATAACTTCTTATCCTATTAAAAATATCAACTCGCATAATATTATCGAAATTAATTATTCAGAAATAATGAAATAACACATTCAACTAGCTATTGATCACGCATTTCGCGATTTTTGAAGGTCTCGCTACATCCATGGTATTAAAAGACGAGCAGGAGTTTGGTGACAGTGATTTCTTTCTTCGTTTCCGCGAATATTTTCCTTGGTAACACCGTAGCGTTCACGAACGAGGCGTGCGTGCGGGGAGCCTCGGAGGAGAGAGAAGGGAGCCTTGAAACGATCGAGGGTTGCCTACTGGAAAGAGCAAAAGGATGCAATGTCCAGGCCAGCCAATTTACCGCTCTTTCTTAGGAGTATTGTCGGGATGCTCTTGAGCGTATTTATCGCTCAGGTCGGCGTACTCTCTTGACAGACCCTCACTTTGCTTTTTTAATGCTTCGAGGTCCTTCTCCCGGGCTGCGAGCTCCTTCTTCAAACGACCAATTTCGCCCATATCTCCCGCAGCGGCTAGGCGTGCCGAATCCTCGCCACCTGCCTTCTTACTGCCCTCCAACTGCTTGACTCTATCCTCCAAACGAAGGATTTCAAGAATCATAGTGTACGTGCGGTTCAGGATAAGGGAGAGGAAAAGGGTAAAGCCGCAAAGGTACATGTTACGCTGGGAATAGAATTTTCGAGCCTGAACCTCCATCCGTTCGGAGCCCAGAGCACCAGCTCTAATTCTTGCGAGTGAAGGTGGTTAGCCATGTGGTTCCTTGTTACCGAGGTGGGGGGACTCTGCGATTTCGCTGACGAGGAACATACCCAGCGCCAACTGCATCCTTAGAGTACGCGGATAGCTCGATTTGGACACGATACACACGGTTAACGCTATCAATAAAGAGGATGAGGATGAAAATGAAGGTAATCTTTATTTTCAATTTTTTTTTTTTTGGTTAGCTGGCATAGCCTTTAACAATCACAATATACAGGGCTAAATACCTTCATTCCATACTGCAATTTGGCAATGACAGGGCTTTCAGATATAAAAGTAAACAGCTTTCGCTTCCATGTGAAGGGAAGGGGCACAATAAGGCCCATGAAAATAGCCATCTCCACCATGAGGATGAGGAAAACCTGCGCAAGAAATTGTCTCATTAGCTTCAAACTCTTACCTCAAGAGAAACAAAAGGTAGCAATAATCACGTACAAGGGTGTAGTAGAGCGTCATCTTGGTAACGTGCTCAAACCAACTTATCCCAGATGTTCTCAAGCTTTCGCTGCTGCCTCCAAGGATGGCGTGTGAAAAAGAAAATGTTCAATGATCATGCAACAAAACAAAATTCGAAAGGTGGTTGTAATCAACACCAGACTTAGAGGAAAGGAGATGATGGAAAACAAAATGAGGCCGCACGACAGGCCGATTGCTTGTATTCTCGCAAGGGGATGTTGTCTTGTGAGCAGCAAAAGCTGGCGAGAGTAAATAAAACCAGTCAAGTTGAGGTTGAGCTGGCCGCACGCGAAAGCCACACAGACGTCATCCCACCCTTGAGTAGCTGCCTACTATTGGCTGAACCTACAGTGGCTTGCCGGAAAGATTATGTAATCAAAAATGCAGCTTATGTTAGGTAATCCAACCAGCACCTCGCTCACGTGACCCACATAGATTAGCCGAGATTCCCCTTTAGGTAGCTTAGTGAATGACAAGCATACAAGTCCTCCATCAGCTTAGCCACATTTTTGCGGAAAAGCTAATTATCCATATACCGACCTAAAGTTGGAATTGGTCAACGCAACATTCGAGTCGATAACGATATCTTCGTGATCTAGCAGGAGACGCACAGCGGAGTGTTCTTCGGCATCATGGCTAGAGAAACTGTGATTTCGTGAAAGGCTTTGCCGGGATACGGAATCATCCTTTGCCCAAGTTGAAGAGAACCATCGATCAATGCGGTTGAATGTGGGGAGTCGCCGAGACACCCCGATCCTTGTGAGCTTTCTGCCTACCGAAGATGATCAGCTGGACGTTTGCTGTGCCAGTACGGAGTATTTCCGGGGTCCAGTTAGGGGAAAGCGAGGTCATCGTAATTCCCGGTGGGGAATCAGATCTTCCTTGTCTAGCCCAACGTCTGGTGGAAAACCCCTCCATGCGGAACATCCTGACTCCAAAGACGTTTGACATATGGCTTGTTGAAAGCGAAGCTCCCCCTAGGCTCCGGGTTTCTTTATCAATTTTCTAAAGTGACCCAATTTCACGACTGCACTACCGTCGCTATCATGGCAGACGACTTCGACTATAACGGCATCAACGATGCTTTCCAGGCGCTCTCGAAGGCTTCTCCGTTGTCGGTTCAAACCATCGCTGACTTAGCGATGATGGGCACGGGGAAATTTCCAGTAATTGACCTCTTTCTTTCTATTCATATCCTGTTTCGCTTAAAGAGAAAAAAAAAAAAAAAAAAAAAAAAAAAAAAAAAAAAAAGAGGATTATCATGTATATTAACACACTAAACCGCTTACCATTTGCCCTTAGGATTTAATCCGAACGCAACGTGATTTCAACACAAACTACAACATGATTGAATCCAGTCTTCGGGATGCCTGCAGAGACATTTTCCGTGAAGACTTTGGTTATGAATATAATGGCAACGATATCCAAGGGCCTCCAAAAGTGGAATTTCAAGCCTTCTTCAGCTGCGGCACGACTTCTCCTAGCACCATTGACAATTATATCAAACAGTCAATCATTGAAAATATGCCGATACCAGAATCAACACAAATTCAAGTGGCTGTAGGCTTATCCAAATTTATCTCAACCTTGCTCGTTCCTGGCCAAGACGGAATCGTCTACACTAAATACCAGAAGTCATTCCCTCTACCCAGTGACTCCGACCCCAGTTCGAGCTTCGATGTCAATGCAGTTATAAGTTTTTACGACCTGGAACTTCCTGAGGACGCGCCGAATCCGAACGAAGTTTTCTTAGTGTACTTTTGCGGCCTAGGTTTATTCACCAAAAATTAACAAGGCTCGCGAGCTGCCCTAGGAACGAAAAACGCAAAGAATCTAATCTCATATTTTGATCGGCGGACTTTGTTATTTAAGTGGTCAGCTTTTGAAAATGGATCTTTCAGAAGTAAATTAAGGGTAATACTCTCTCGGAGGTTTGCGATGGGCGGTCCTGAGTTTTGTATTTTATTTGTGAGGTTTTCCTCTTTGGATGGCGGCAGTACGGTACCAAAGGCTTCTATGATAAGCTGATGATCGGCACTCGTTGGTAATAATTTTTTCTTCCATCTTAGTTACACACTCCAGGTCCCAAAGCGTTCGCTTTCTGCCCGTCTCTACTATAGTCTAGCCTTCGATCTCATAGCTGTTGGACTTGTGTTTCGGTTCAAATTTGAAATCTTTATGTGCCGGGCCTAGGAACATCTCACTGCGGCAAAGTTAGTCAAACAAAGAGCAAACTGGATGCAAGGGGGGAATAAAAACAACACTTACCTGATCTTTATCCAATCCTTATAGTTATCGCTAGCCAAAAGTGTCTCTAGTTCATTTCTCCCTTTATACGCTGGGGGTCGATCCTGGATTCTTGGCGGGAGATACTCCAACAAACCGATTGGGATATACCGATGCGTAAAACTCAGCAGCTCCAAAAGGAATCTTCTGGTAGTTCCAACGCCATGTTCGTCAGAGCCCCATGCATCGAGACCGTATTTTGCAAACTTCTCAACGATCGAGAGACGTTCAGAAGCTGACTTGTCGAGATATTGCCCGGCTTGGATTTCCTCGAAAATCCACGGTTTCATAAGCGCACCACGAGCGATCATCACGGTATCTACGCCGGACTCGCCAATAGCTCGATAATAATCTTCATGGGAGTAACAATCGCCGTTTCCGAGGAAATATACCCTCCTTCCCGGGGCTTGTAGCCGGTCGTCGGGCTCTCGGATGGTGTCGGTTAGGTCATCACTTCGCTCGTTGAGTCGTTTTATGAGCGCCGCACATTCAGATATGTAACTCCAATCGGCTTCCCGTGTGTATCGTTGCTGTCGGCTTCGGCCGTGGAGTGTAATCGCAGCAACACCGGCCGGGCCTTGTCCAATCTCACTGAACTCAGGACCTCCGAGAACAAGTCGCTCAATGAGTTTCAATGCAGTTGGACTATTATCCTTCGTGCCCATACGAATTTTTGCGGACACAGGGACCTCATTGGACACTGCATTCATCCCTCGTAGAATCTTTTCCAGTTTTGATGGGTGCTCAAGAAGCGCGGAACCGGCACCGTCTCGGTAAACTAGGTCAATTGGACAACCACAGTTAAGGTCTACAACGCGAAGATGTGGACACAGAGCCGTCATGACCTCCGTAGCTTTCAGTGCTTGCCATGGTTTGTTGGCTGAGATTTGAACACCGAATTTGAGATCCCGAGAATGATCATAATCTTTGACCACGCCTTGATTTGGTTTAATCGTAGGCGGAAGCACCTCGGACTGATGTGCCTTCATTAAAGCCCACTCGCCTTTGTGGCCTTGAACTATCGGAAGGCTCATAGCCATTTCTGAGTATGTGAATTGTGCTCCCAATTCAACACATAGCCTTCGGAAGGGGAGATTGCCCTGGGTGGTAAGCGGCGCCAAAACCGGCGTTTCTGAACCGAAGTAGAGTCGTCTCTTTTCGGATGGGAGAAATGGGGGCTCCTTGAACTGCGCTCTCCTATCTTCAACCTCGTCTCCGGCCTCGTCATTTGCTTCGACGTTGTTTTCATCCGCAAACCTCCTGCCATGGTTGTGGATCTCCAACTGCTTGGACGTCTCATCAAGCCAAGTTGTATACGCATCTGATTTGGGAGTCTTGCGCCTCTTCTTCATAAGGTCCACCTTTTGCTCCGTAGATATAGAATTGAACACTCCTCCCTCTGCTCCACCTTCAACCAAAGGCATAGCAGCATTCTTTCGTTCCTCATCCTCCACCAAAACCAGCTCTTTCCGCCCATCCTCCAGCTCCCTCTCTGTCATATGGGATCCCACAAATCGACATTTCCACCCGGAAAAGCAAAGACCATACGCATCCCAAACCGGACACATGCCATCAAACGTCTTCAAATCCTCACGCTTGTACTCTTTCAAGTATTTGCGCAGGTCATGCTCAAATCGACAATTATCGCCAAACTGACATGTTCTTGGTGAGAGTTCTGGGCTGTGCGACACACTCTGACAGAGACCTTTCTCGTCCTGTGATTTCCCAAATTTCCGAGCTGTGTTTTGACCTTTTTGTTTTTTTCTCTGTTTTCCGCCTTTCTCGTCTGCGCGTTCCTGGTGACGGGCGGCTTCCGCTTCGTCGTCGTCGCGCACATCAGAGGTTTGTTTTACGCTAGGTTCTTGACCGGAATGAACGAGATACCTAAATACTCGCCGGACGGCGGCAGTCAGCAATGACCAAACGGAATGAAGAAAAAAAAAAAAAAGAAAGAAAGAAAAAAGAAAAAAGAAAAAGAAAAAGAAAAACACACCAGAGGAAGATCTGGAGTGACTGGACTTACTCTTCTCTTATTGGCGCGGTGCCTTTCTTTCGCTGAGCACCGTTATTTTCCGGCTGCGCGAGAATGGGATTTTCGGGCTTATCGAGTTTGATGCGCTTTGCGGGCGACTCTTCGAAAATCCCGCTACCCTCATTCTCTAGCCGTTTTGCACCATCATTCAGAGTGGTTTCATTCGGAAAACTTTGTGTCATTTTGACAACGATTCTGTGTTCGATTTATAATTCCGCAAAGCCCAATGCCCACGGCTTGCGCTTCTGGCTCCGACGACAAATGGGCTTTGTGGCGGGGAGGAATTTCAGCGGGCAAAATCTGTTCGGAGTGGAATTTTTCCGACGTTAGATTGAGCAGCTGGAAGACAAGACAACTTCGAGCACAAAAATCAAAATGAAAATTTAATGCAGTATGAAATTGGTCTACTCCGTATATTTGTCAAAAAGCTCTCGAAGATATGCTCGCTGTAGAAACTATCATTTAGCGCCCCATGCCTCGCCTAACTCCGAAAATTCGTCCCTTCGCCGTGTGATCATCTCGTCATTACTAAGACATCCCATCAAACACCTTCGGAAGTCCTCCAAGTCCGCCCGCGATAGAATTTCATGTAAGCTCCATTCCATCATCTTCCTCTCCATCGATATCTTCGCCGTCACCGAGAAGAGGCAAGCGAGTTCGCTTCATGTCCCCATTCGGGTCGTACCGATCGCTTCCCCAGCTTCCGGTAAACTCGAGTTCGTGGCCACCGACGACTCGACCTTCTGTATCCACCACCTCGCATAGTTCCATAAGGCTCTGTCTGTTGAGGCTTCTGAAGCCTTCTGTTCTTACAATACGTCCCCAGTTAGCCATACAGAACACCGCTGCACGACGCTTGAGCCATTCCTCGTTTGTTCGCCCAGCACGCTCCCATACGATAGCAGCGTTTTCAACTGCTAACTCGCGGCTAAGACGATGAACACATAGCTGGCGCAGTCGTGGCATATCGTACAGGTTTGCCATTACTAACATTCCAGCCACTTCAGTGACACCGGGGCACAATTCGGGGTGGCAGGAAATACTATCCGTGTATAAGTAATGCAGGAATGCACGAACAACCTTGTATGGCTCAGGAATATGCATTCTTTTTGTATGATATTCTGCCATTTGAGCCGCGTATAGGCGCTTAAAATGAGGCCACCGTGCTTGGAGAATGATGCGGTGAACGTGGATTGGAGCAGATGTGGCAGCATCGGGCGGCAAAAAGGTAGAGGTTGGCTGCGAGGAGTCGGCCATTCCTGAAGATTCCTCATCACTGGAGTACCCAGGATCATCACAGTCAGCGGTGATTATAAAATCTGTCCCGCTTCCTGACTCCGGAGGTTGGTCAAAAACTGCAGCCAATTCCGCTCCTAAGCTAGATAGCTGAGAGTTATGCTCACTGTCCACGTTGAGTGATCTTTGGTTGAGTGATTCATTGCCCAAGACGCCGTATCGCTCGAGGTCTATAGGAAGAACTTCACTTAAATGGTTCTCGTCGCCCAGACCTGGTGCGTTAGCAACATTTAAGTTGCAGCCAAGAAGCCATGCCTTGGTACCGTCTTCGTTGACAGTGCAGTAGTGCCAGCGATATCCGGCTTTGAATATCTCGGGGCCATCCGCAAGCCTTTGCCAGCGTAACGAATCTAACTCCAAAGAGGAGAGATTGCATTCCCATGGGCGAACGGTTTCAGAAGGGGTGACCAGATCAAGGAGAACGCCAGAAGAATAGACATGGAAATGCGTTCCGGAGAGCAGCACGGGGGTATATGGGCCGGAGTGAAACTTAATAGAAGATACGGCTCCAGGAGCATTGGGTCTCCGTCTACCCAGAGATCGAACTTGGACACTGCCCGAGTTGGGTGCATAGCCATTAGGCCGTCCGGAAATCTGTGATGGGGTACTAAAATGCATGTCTGGGCTGTAAGTCATCCTGTTTGCCATTCCTGGGGATCCGACGGTACCTTGAGACGATGCCGAAGTACCCATGAAGGACGGGTTTCCTTTCAAGTCCAGCCACCACAGATCCGTTCCGCGTTCCATGTCAATCCCAAGGCCTCCAAAAACCCAAAGTCTGCCTCCCCAAACCCAAGCAGTGTGATCGAAGCGGGCAATGAAGCTCCAAGTACGGGACCAGGTCCAGGTTTTGAGGTCGAGATAGCACATTTCGTCGAGGATATAATTGGTTTCGCCAGTAACACCACCTACCACAAACAGTTTATCCTCGTAGATCACGGAGGCATGGCGAGCCCTCCCTCTCGGAATGGGTCCACGAACTTCGGGAGATGTCCAAGTATAGGTGTTAAGGTCCAATATGATGATGTCTGAAAGGTATTCACGGCGTTCATTCTCGCCTCCAAATACAATTAGCTTGTCATCTTGGTAGAGGGACGCAGTATGGCCTAGGACTTTCGTCAGCCTGAACAGGATAAATGAAGCACTAGAGTCAATTAACCCATTCGAACACCCGGTATGTCTCCATAGTTATTTACCAGTGTCCACGTCAATGTGTTCAAGTCTAGTCGGCGAACGTGGTTGTAAACTATTCAGATGAAGGTAGGTAGTTAGTGGATAAAGTGCAGCAAAGAACAGAATAGGTTGCTCAGTTCACTAACCCTCATCTGTATATTGATCAAATCCACCAAACGCATATATCTGGTTATTTCCGCAGTATGTCACAGATGCATTTACAAGGCAAGCGGGGACTTGCCCGGCGGACTTCTTCACTGTTGGACGGTAGCCATCGCTCCCACGGCTGATCTTGGAAGGGCTGGTGGGCATAAGGTAGGTATTGGGCGTGGTGTTGGAAGTTGGGGAAGCCAGGGTGACAGGAGTTCTATGAAGAGCTGTTAATCCACTGTTCTCCTGTCTGCTGCCACCACCGGCCGGTGTTGATAGGGCGCCGAGGGACATTCTTAGCCGGATTCTTGGTATGTATGTAGAAGACGCAACTTGAATTGTGGTAAATGATTGGTTAGCCAAACAAATAGGAGGCAACAACAATGCAAGCGAGAGAAGAGACTAAATTCTATCAGCCCAGAAAGCTCTGGACAAGCATCAAAAGATATATCAGGCAGGGTGTGTCAAGAGTTTTAGGAAGATGCCTGCGGATAGTTTGGAGAGCGGCGAAGGTGAAGCGGCGGCGGCAAGCTACGACCGGAATAACTTTCCGAAAGCGGTTTCGGCGCTTTAAAAGCTTAATTGAGCACACTAGCCTACTTAGGACTAGCGTATCCGAGCTCTGATTGTTGCTTGGGCGACGCAAAACGGTAAACATTCAGCTTTTAAGGAGCTCCTGGCCATCACCCATCGTCTCTTTTCACCTTCTCTCTTCATCTTCTTCTGTTCGTTGTATTCTATCTCAAGTCATCCACTCCTTGCTAACCGAGTACCTCAAGTTATCCTATCTCCATACCTCCTTCATCTCTTAGTGTCCATAGCTTATCAGAACCAGGCGTATTTAGTCCATCTTAGCCTCAGAGCCTGGTATACTGCTGGGTTACATCCACGCCCATCCTCTCCTTGAACAGCCTTTGTGTTCTGTTCGTTTCCTTGGAAAGAGGTAACCGATCATTCTCAGCATATTCTTTGGAAGTCACGCTAAAGTCATTAGAGAATCCCGAAATATCGTAGCACGATGGCAGCTGTAGCGGTTACAACACCGGTCAAGAGCCACCATGGAATATTCTCCTCAAAAACGGCTGGCGGCCGTATGCCTCTGACGCCATCTCCCCGGCAAAGAACAACAAGCCTTACTAGCAACGTTTCAAACGACTCTTCGCCTTTCACTCCCCCTGAGGCACCAAAATCTTTCTACAACGGAAACCTCTCCACGCACTTTGCGAGAGCAAGAAGTTATCGCGACTCCCCAAAGTCAAACATTGCAAAGGGTCAAAACTCGCCTCGGCCGCTTGAACTTGGAATTTCAAAATGGACTTTGACAGGAACGGGACATTCTGGTCAAACCCCAAAGAAACGTACAAAGAAGGGGACAAACCTGCGTCCCAGAACGACCAAAACCACAATCCACCTCCCCCACAATGCGGCCGATAGATTTATCCCCAGTCGCTCGAGTGAAGGACTAGTAACCACCGGCACTGCAAAGGCAGATGACCAACAACGCCCGAAACCTAGTGGCAGTGATGGCTCCAGTGTCCTTGCAAACGCTGCCAGTGCTTTTAATATGGGAAGCCATGAGGACGATCTTGCAGAAGCTTTGCAAGGACTTGACCTAGAAGACAACGATACTAATAGCACCTACTCGAGGCCGGCCCCTGACGTGGTTGCATACAAGTCCTCTCTGGCAGATGCCTGTGATATCCCCCTTAATACTCGAATCCTTGCTTTTAAACCCCCAGCACCAGAGTCATCGAAACCAATCGACCTTCGGTCTCAATACAACCGCCCCCTCAAACCTGCTCATGCACAGTCGGCTCAATTTCGACGAAGAGTACAAACAGCACCAGAGCGGGTTTTGGATGCACCCGGTCTCGTTGACGACTATTACCTCAACTTGTTGGATTGGAGTTCAGGTAATCAGGTTGCTATTGGCCTCGAGCGCAATGTTTATGTGTGGTCTGCAGACAGTGGCTCCGTAAACTGTCTGTTGGAGACCTCCCCTGATACATATATTAGCAGTGTGAAATGGAGCAACGACGGTGCCTACGTTGGTGTTGGTCTTGGCACTGGTGAAGTCCAGATCTGGGACGTCGAAGAAGGTACCAAACTGCGAAGCATGCTTGGCCATGAAACACGGGTTGGTGTCATGGGTTGGTCCAAACATACCTTGTCCACTGGTGCTCGCAGCGGCCTTGTTTTCAATCATGATGTCCGTATTGCTCAGCACAAAACGGCTGAGCTCGTTTCTCATACATCGGAAGTCTGTGGTCTGGAATGGCGATCAGATGGCGCTCAGTTGGCCACCGGCGGAAACGACAACCTTGTTTCCATCTGGGATTCACGGTCTCTCAGCGCACCAAAGTTTACCAAGACCAACCACCGCGCAGCTGTCAAGGCTCTTAGCTGGTGCCCATGGCAATTGAACCTCTTAGCTACCGGTGGGGGGTCATACGACAGACACATCCATTTCTGGAACACCACAACTGGCGCGAGAACCAACAGCATTGACACCGGCTCTCAAGTCACAAGTCTCCGATGGAGCAACCACTACCGAGAGCTCGTTAGCTCCAGTGGATTCCCTGATAACTCTTTGAGCATTTGGAGCTATCCCACTCTCGTTCGCAACGTTGAGATTCCCGCACACGAGACTCGTGTTCTCCACAGCTGCCTGAGCCCGGATGGGCAGATGTTAGCAACTGCAGGTATGTAGCATGAAGTCTGCTGCTTTCTTTAAACAATATCTGACGGGTAATTGATATAGCTGCCGATGAGAGTCTCAAATTCTGGAAGATCTTTGAACGAAAGCCAGGCACTGCCGCATCCGCTTCTCGTGAGGGTGGAGTCGGCAGCAAGGCTAAGCAGATGACAATCAGATAAACATCTCTGCTTCCTTGGATCTATTTTAGTTTCCCTTTTTCTCGTCACACAGGCTGCAAGGTACGGTGTTAAAAGCGTTGTTTGGCTTTGGGAAAATTTTTTAATTGGTGGTGTTGGTGGTTTTGTAAAGCTCATTCAGTGTAATTGCATTAATCAATTCAAAATTCCATGTCTTGTGCTTTTTTCTCTTTTCTCATATTGAAAGACATCAGAATTTCCTTCAATTGATATAGCTCAACGGTGGGAGGCAAATAATAGAGGCCTTTTTGTGATCTGGCAGCGAGGATTGGCCTGCCAAATGCAATCTTGATAGTGACATTATTTAGAAATCCCCATTCACACTTGATATCAGCTTCACTTGCTCCGTAAAGTCCCGTTCAACAATGAAAGTGCCATTGCATGCTCCTCTGGGGGAACGTTCTCGACTGCGCTCAGAGAGGAATCTCTGGTTCCAATGGCTTGCTGACTAAGCTACTAGGCAGGTTGCTGATAGCTTCTTGAGTATAAAGCCACTTTCTCCTCAACAACCATCCTGGCCGCACCAGAGCAGGCGCGTCAACAGCCCGGTTTTACAGTGCTTGCAGGCTACTTGGGTCTCTTGAACGGTGATATAAAGTACAGGGCGGTAGCCTACGGCAAAATTTACAGCTTACTGCAGAGGTTTGGGGTGGCAAGCAGCGCTGGCTGACGACCTTGGCAGCGAGCCAACCACATGCTGTGCGCCGGCGACCGCGACCACAAGACAGCGCCATAAATACGTTTTCCTCTTGTGCCTCCTTCTCCTTTTCTTTCCTGCTTGCTGAATACGCATTTGCGAAAAATGTCGAACCAGTTGGTGGTGAGTAGCGAACACCCTGAAACCCAATCTTCGGTCTTTTGCTCTCCACCCTTTTGTCGCGGTTTCTGTTGCCATCTGATGGCTCACAAAGCCATTTCGCGCTTCATCAGGGTATCGTCTTCGACCGCGTCATCCAGGAAGTATGCGATTCGTCCCAGATCGACTTTGAAGAAGGTGGTGTTGACCAGCAGACGTTGGAAGACCTGAGGAAAGTAAGTCGCAGAAAACCTCCCTTGTACTGCCTTTCAAGCCTCGCCCGAGCGTTTGAGATGCCGAAAAGTCGAAAAAAACATATCATCAGATTGTTATCCTGCTGTGGATGAGCTGATGTTTGATGCCGATGGGCTCTTTCGTGGCGTTTTGTGGTCGCGTGTGGTGTTGGACGGTCTCCATTTTTGGTGTGGCCAATTCGCGGGGGGTTCGGCCTGTTTAAAGGGAATCGGGCCCATTGTTGCCTGCTGAGACATTTTTATGTGGCGGTTGTCGGCTGGCCGCTTTAACGGCTCGCTGACTAAGCTTGACGGTGTCCTCACCATCCATGCACCTCTGAGCTGCCCTCTGGACTTTGGCATTTTACTTAGCATGTAACCTGCTGCTAATCTGCCTTTTTATTGATCTAGGGATGGCAGAAGAAGCTCTCATCTCTCGGGGTTGCCCAGTTCCCCTGGGATCCTCCTCCTCAACCCCCTCCACCCCCTCCACAGCAGGCCCCAATTCCTCCGCCGCCCGTGACCGTGCCGTCCAATGCGCCTCGTACGTCACCACCACCTCCACAAGAGTTTCCAGAACAAATACCCCAGTCCCAGCCGCCTCTGGCTCCCGCAAATGGCTCTGGACAAGCTGCGGGTGAGGTTCGCGTCAAGACTGAACCTGGGTACCCTACGACGTCGACAGGCATTCCCACCACAGCTGCCCATATAGCGCAGCAGCGGGCGGCCGATGCCCTACATCAACGTTACGGCGCGGCTGCAGCTAGCCAGATCCACCAGTTACAAGCTCAATCTCAGGCAGCGTTGTCCCTTCCTGGCCAGCAGCGACTTCAGACCAGTCAGTTTAACGGTCCGCAAAGCCAAGACCCGAAGGTATCACAGCAGGGCTCGCAAAGTAACACCGTTGGAAACGGCCAAACCGATGGCGCGGGCGATTCCGAAATCGATGCACTCTCAGAATGGAAGGCGGAAGTTGCGAGGAGAAGAGGAGAGGCGACAAAGAACGGAGCGCAAGCCGACCGCGTCATGCGGAAGTATGTCGAGCTCAGAGGACTGCAGATGGAAGGTAACGGTCTCCTAGCCCCGCTTCATGAACGATACCCCCGCGCGAATGGAAAGAAGCGTAAGGTCACCGTCAAAGCAGAGTCTGCAATTCCTGGCCCTTCCATCGCATCGGAAGCAACTATCCCGTCTCAAGCGGGTGGATATGACGGTGTCGATGAGTTTGGGATTAAAAAAGACGAAGATGAAGACGCAATTAATTCCGACCTTGATGACCCCGATGACCTTCTTGACGACCCTGAAGGCGATGATGCAGTCGGCCAAGTCATGCTTTGCACATATGATAAAGTGCAGCGCGTGAAGAGCAAATGGAAGTGCACACTAAAGGATGGTATCTTAACTACTGGAGGGAAAGAGTAGGTTCCCAAGGGCCTCGTACAGTCTTGCTTGACCGACGCTAACCTAGCATAGATATGTTTTCCATAAAGGCACCGGGGAATTTGAATGGTATTAGCGAATATGCGATAATATGAGGTCCCTAAGGTATTACCCAGTTAAGACGATTGCTCGGGACAGATTTATTCCTTTCTTAAACTTTTCTTTTCCCTCCTTGGCTAGACCAAGATGTAACCAGTATCTGCCATCTTTCGTCGTCTTTCTTGATTGCAATCTTTCTTTTCTTTCGTTTTCCCTATGTCTTTCTTTGACAATGGCGTTCTTAGTGGAGTTCAGGCACGGAGGAACGATTCGTTTCATTGAAAACCCCAGACCGTGGATTGTTCTGATGATAAGCTATACCGTCCATTTTTCTTTTCGAGAAGGATTTCCGAATCGGGGCATTCAATCGTAAAATCTGTGATTATGTACTCCTGATGTGTAATTTTCTCAACAGCATACATGGACAAAGCAAGTGTCAAACTTGATATTCAGCTAGCAAGTACTTCGCATTGTAACAAACAAAATTTTTCATGACTTTTCTGTCTCTGAGCCCTTTCTCTTCTTTTTTTTTTTTTTTGCCCTCTCTCTCCCCCTTCAACTTTGGATAAGCAGATGGGGAAACAATCCAAAGTACAGTACATACGGGCATGATCAGGATGGGAAGCATTCAAAACAAAAGTGACTTTGACAAACATAGGTAAATACCAAAAAACACATGAAACAAGAAAGAAGGAAATGAAAAGTGAGGATATTAAAAATGCAGTCTATTTCGCTAGCGAAATCATTACTCAAAAAAGGCGATTAGACAAGATAATACGAGGGAAATAAACCAAGAGAAAGAGATATAAAATCAGTCACGATCCAAAAGACACCAACGGGAACAATTAGCGAAGATCAATCCAGTGCCAAAAATCGAGGGAACCTCAGAAGAGCATGCGGCGAGGAGTAGAAGAGTGGTGTATGGGAGTCTAAAGCTTCCGTAACGGTATGTGCAAGAAAAGAAGATGTCAGATAAGAGTTAGTATCGGAAAGGTGGCCGTTGCGAATTGCTCATGGAAGAAAATAGGACCAAGGCCGTCGGTTAAAAAAGGTCCTGCGACTCGAAGATCCGGACACTAGAAGGGAATCGGAGTGTATGTACATGCCTACCCCGTGCATGCAAAGACAGATCGGGGGATTAAAAAGAAGCGGGCCAAGAGGAGCAAAAAAGACAGACGGAACAAACAAAGGGGAAAAAAAAAAAAAAAGGCTAGCGTCCCCCCTTTTGTTAATGTATCCCAAAGCGCAAAGAAAATAAGATGGGAGCCGATCGTGAGAGAAGAAATCCACAAACCCAAAACATACGCCTCCAGGCTCTCTATCTATGTACCTTGTATTTGCGTGTCGACCCCATTTCACTCCGTTTTGTTCGCCCTGACTCTTGCATCCTGTGTCAACTTTTATAATTGGAGGGGAAGACTTAAGGGCAACACCCTTTTATTCTCCGATTCCTGGGAGACCGGCTCCAGCAACATTAACATTTTCGCCTTGCATAACTCCGCCGGTGTTCATATTCCTATTAGTCATGAATGATAGCTCGGGATTGCATGGCGGTGAATGGGCTTTGTGGTATTTGAGGCCGTTAAGGTTCTTGTATCGCTTTCCGCAAACTTCGCAGCGGTAAGGTTTCTCCTTCTCCATGCCAAGGGTGCCTGGGTATGGGATGGAAGTTTCAGGGTTGACGATAGAGAATGTTCCGTCAGCATTGTCATGGAGTTGTTGGTTGTTGTGGCCGTGCTAAGTAACGCTAGCGTTAGACGAAAGCCGAGAGAAGAGATGAAAAATAAATAATAGAAATAAGCGGTGAGACTTACCGATTTATGGTACTTGAGACCATTTTGGTTTTTATAAGCCTTTTCGCACCCAATGACAGGACATCTATAAGGTTTAGGTTCCTCATCAGGCCTAAGGAATGATGGATCAGGAACACCAGCAAGCCTCTGCTGTTCTCGAATGCGTTGTGCGATTTCACTGTTGGGTCCGTATTGGGCCCCGCCCAACCGGAACTGGGCATTTGGCTGTGTATTCTTGAAACCTCCGCCCTGTCTAAACAATCTTTTGGCTGGTTCGTCAATGCACAAATCCAGCATATCATTCTGCCCGCCATATCCGGGGTATTGAGGCTGGTTCCCTGGAAGAGGGGCGCCTTGCATAGACATGTCACTCATTCCGCCAACGATCGACTCGTCGAGTTCTGCAGGAGTGCCAGGCGTAGAAGACTCGGGAGTATTGCGGAACTGAGAAGCTGGCTGCTGTTGTAGAGAGTGGGGTAAGAGGGTTGGCGTATTCACGGAAGATACGGTCGGATTATTTTGAAGGGGCCTTGCAGGAGAAACGGGTGTACCGGGCTGAGAGCTTCTAAATCCTTGGTTTTGAAGCATTCCCAGGTTGAGCGGTGACACTCTGTTTCCTCTATTCTCCTGACTAAAGCGAGCCTGCAAAAATCCTTGTTGTTGGGGCTGCTGGAAACTAGTATCTGACAAGGGATCGTCCATCTCCATATCATCAACGGTATCAAGATCCGGTAAATCCATAACCCGGGATGTGTTAAATCCACCCTGTGGTTGAATCCGTTGTTGAGATGCGCTCGTCATCTGGGTTGGCGGGCGCTGGTTGCCAACAGGATGAGGTGTGACGAATCCCTTCCCGGCACCGGGCTGTTGATTTTGCTGCATGTGATTTCCAGCCGTGCCGGATCTGTTATCTGATATGGTCTGACTTGACTGCGACCTTTGTGGCGGCGGAGGCGACTTTTGAGCGTGGGCTTCTTCATAGTGTTGGAGGAGATCATGAAGTGTGGGAAGCGTGATTCCACAACAAGAAAAGTCGCGCATGAAATTTGCTTCGAGTTTGGGCAGATACGAGGAGGAGTGGTAGGAGGGCGACTGTAGTGTGAAAGGTGAGGTTCCTGTCATGATAATACTACATCTTGGTCAGCATCAAGGCCCAACATCTCCCCATACACTCTTCCAAACTACAAATGTGACTTTGTAACAGGGGCACTATCACATACTCATCTCTAATCCAACTTCCAACCGATACACCACCCCAGCTCATCCCTCCGACTAGACTGCCTGCAAGACTCTCTCGACGGGGCTTGTCACGGTTAGAACCAGCGACAGTAATCGGCTTGGAACCATTCGAATATTGTGCCATTGTGGCGCTGAACGAGTCCTTTCGCGCCCCATTCGTCTTGAATGCGGTAGGGCTGGCCCCATTCCAGGCGGGGATCAGGTCAGGGCGGTCCACGGCCGCGGCTCTCTGCAGGGCGGACGTGAGGTTGGACGCTTGCTGGCCGGGTGGGGAAAGAGATGTCTGGCGAGACGCCGAAATGTTGATCGGAGACGTTGTATTCTCCATGGTCCGTTCAGGCGGTGAAGACTGAAACAGAGGGAATGTAGAGTCACCCAGGTCGCCTAAGAAGCTGGTATGACGGTCGCGTGCAGCCGGTTTGCCTTCCTCCCCGAGTTTGCGTTGCCAGGGAAAATAGGAATTTCGATCCCGATCGGGTCTGCGTGAACTCGCGAGGCCAGAGCCGACTGGAGTGCCAATTGGTGTGGATTCACGGGTTGAGGTACGGTCGTGGTCGCTTGATGGAGGCGAGAAATGGAGAGGAGGTGGAGTGTCCGACGATTCACGCATCAAGAACAGCGAACCGGATGGGAGACTCCGCGGTCTTGTGGGCGTTGCAGGGTTAGGATCTGGTTGCCAGGACACAGCAGTCACACCGTTCCTCCAAGCGAAGAGAAGATGTAGATGGAATGTAGAAATGTTAGGTGTGTTGGCTTCGAGGATCCGGTAGGACGGTGTTCGGCAGCGAGAAAGGCTCCACCAGGATCCAAAGCAGAATCACAAGAAAGACCAAAGGAAAAAATAAAATAAAATAAAAGTGAGGTGCGGTCGCTTGAAGAAGAGAGGAACAGACGAGTGAAACGGGATAAGTAAGTTAAATGTGGCGGCTAAGAGAAAACCATCGAGACGAGATTATTATCGATGAGAGAGACGACGGATGATGTCGATGTTGACCGCAGCGCTCCGTTGCCAGTAGTTGCATGCTCGTTAGTGAGTTAAGTTCGTGCTGACCGTTGATTCATCGGCGGCATCAGGCGCTCGAGCGCACTAACTGCTAGTTAACGAAGTCGACTCGACACGGCAGGATTTACGTTGCCTGGTGCCGAGCCTGCGCCGAACGCGAAGGATTAATATTATTATTGACGATGTTCTCTTGTTTAAACCCAACCCCCCAGACAAGTCTTTTTTGCCCCCCTTGCTCTTAAAACCAGTCCTTCGAATAAACATTAATTACTGTCCTGACGGGCACGGATACTCGACGATATCGAAATCAAGTGAGCCAGCCTAACCTCTAGTTAGTTAGTTACATCGTTTACATGGTTAACTAGTTACTTATATCGACCATCTCTTTGTTCCACAACTGCCCGGCTGCCAACCCCCCCATTGTATTGCAACACGACCGGACAACCCCTGGGAAATGCTTGCTTTCGTGACCAATTCTCTTCGTACATATCATGCCATGTCGCTTTCCGGCGACTCGCCTTGCTTTGTCCTCCTTGCCTCCGCTGATCGGATTTCTATAGTTACTCCCCAAATCCCATCCCCAAGCCCAATCGCACATGCAGCCTCTTCCGCAGCCTGCGAGATTATTTGATCAAGAGACGGCAAGCGTACCGACCCAGAGCTGGGGAGTGTGGTAGAGCTCTTTGTTTTCAAAGTGGGAAGATCTCCTCGGCATCCACCACCGACTTGACTCGGTGGCAACAACCGTGGTCCCCGGAACACTGGCACGTTCCCAAGCAGTCTTTTGCCTTCGGGCTCCTGTTAGCTTAAACCACCCCTAATATGTAGCGTAGAGCGCGTGGCCAATTATCGTAAGTAGCTGGTTAGGGACCTCCAAGCTTTCCTCCATTCAAATCCCCGATACCATGTTCGCCGCAACCAAGTCTGGGTCCTGGTTTGGCCAGCCTCGCCCACCCAATATGGCCAATGCCGTCCTGGACATCTGAGCACCTATCACAGGCTTGCTACTGTCAGCGTTTCAAGAAAATCCGCCAAAGCCTGCATCTGCCAACGTCCATTGGTTACCAGCGTTCAGGTAACCCTGGAAATCCTTCAAGATGGGAGGAGAGCGCCCGTTTAGAACGATGTTCGTATGATACCGTGCGTTGCCGGTTGGCAAAGGTTAGCACCCAAGTACAAGAGGAATCCAAATTTGTCAAATCAGCTTCACGCTGATTTGACTCTTGCTTTCAAGGTGTTCATCCCTTTTTTGGATGGGATATTCTTACAGGACCTTCGTAGGAGCAGGTCTCCGGCAATTACAGAAAAGTGATAGTGTCATAGTCACAAACGTGCACGCTTGGCTTTGTGGACTGGATTCGCATTCCATCCATATCCAGTCAAGACATCGACTCCACTTCTAGGAGCAAACACGAAGCCCCAAGCAAGTAGCGTTCCGCTTGCCAGGTGACGAGCTTTGCAGGACACAGCGCCTTGCAAAATTTGGAATAGCACGTCGATCTCTGCCAGATTGTCTCTGGGCACAGACCAAGCGCCTTTCTTTGAGGTCGTGGCCTTGGGTTGCAGGTAATGAATTCCAAAGCCATCTACTTACGGAGTACCTAGGGAGGACATCCTGCTTCTAAGCTAAGACCATCCGCAAATGTTTGTTGACCAATTGCCAAGGGACTGCCTTGGACATCAGCTCCATGGCGAATGTGACCATTATCTCTGGATGTCGCCAATGTTGAAATTGGGCAGAGAGCAGCGGTTCAGATGCGTCGCCAGGGGGAGGTTCAGAACCGAAATACTGCCCAGCACAATGTTGACTGAGCTCCTTCGGGTGTCACAAAACCTGGGATTCCAAAGAATTTCGCAAGCTCAACGTTGCCTCATGATGAAAACTCATCGGCCGTCAATGGGTACTCATTACGGCCACCGTCCCCGTACAGAGGACACGGCGGCCCAATAGCGCAAACCGCGCCAACAACTACTCCTCGCGCAACCACAAATACACACGGATGCACAAAAACCCACTCTTGAGATTTCTGCCTCAACGAAGACAAAACGATCTGGCAATTCCTCGCATCTGTGTGGGTTAGGTAACTGCACCGTCTGACGGTCGGGCGCTCGGCAGCGTCAGTCAGAGCTCTCCAGAATAGCCTTGTTAACTACCTAGTTATCGTGTATGTCGTTACATATACAACGAAAAAGTGCCAAAAGACATCATCTCTCTATCCCAGGCATAATGCTATCTGACAGGGTAATTGCAACGACTCGATATGTTGTAGCTCCCAATACCTGCTCTAGTGAACTCCTGTTAGGTGCCAATTTCGACACGCATTGGCTTCAAAAGCAGGCAGCACATTAGACTGCAGAGGTGATCCAGGGATTGCTGGCCAAGCGTGGAGTGTATATATTCAAGAAATAGCGGAAATGCTAGCAACTTTTAGTAGAATCTTCTCATCTGTTCAGAAATTCATCTAGGAAAAATGCATCATACAATAGCTAGTAGCATTAATCGAGTCTTCCATTGGTGGGTATCTATATTAACTAATACGTCATAAATTCGTAAAGATAAATATAAGCGACTGAATGGGAGTGTGCAGTCGAGGGTTGGATAGATTTGTCGATGCCGGGGACATCCGATTTGTTACAGCCAAGGACATTTAGTCGATCCATCTTTGATTTAACTTGTCGAAGCCAATCACTTTCAAATCGATGTTCAAGTTCTTGAGCATCATATCCATGGTAAACGTCTGCGAAAGATATCAGCATCGGTTAAAGTAAACGGCACTATACCTCCATTGCTCTTTTTTTCAAATCTTGATTCTTTCGACGAAAGGATGACTGAACTAACCTCATCATCTTCACCACTATCATCTTCCTCCTGCTCCCTATCACTCTTCTCACCTGCTTCAATTTCTCCCTCGATCTCTTTCCTTCTCGCGTCTTTCTCCTTTTCTAAGTCACTTCCTTCATCCTCATCCCCATCCTCATCTGTCCCACCGGTGTCGTTTTCCTCCGCATCCCATTTCATTCTTCTCAATTTACTCTGTCTCATCCTATCTTTCCACACTCCGACGCCGCCCATCCTATTTACTCTTTCTCTAGCACTCGCGAATAATTCTTCCGCCGCCTCACGTGCCACAATCTGCCATTTATATATCAACCCTTCAAGTTCGGGATCTTGATTCGACTGTTCAATTCTTATCGCTTGTGTAGCAGTGTCGAGATCCGTGCGCAATGTGGAGAGTTGGGCATGTAGAGACGAAACTTGCTTTTGAAGATTGGAGATATGCTGTCGGGCCTGAGACGTATTCGGGAAAGCAGATGAAGTAGTAGGGGCTCGCTCTATTTGATCGGAACCGGGTCTAGGAGTTTTCGGCGGAGTTGTGGTAGATTGATGAGCGCAGGGCGAGGCGGACTTGGTAGAAGGTTCGTTGGATACCGCGACGGCTTCCGTTCGCGTCCCTCCGCAATTCACTGCTTGTGCATTTTGTCTCTCTAGTAGAGGGCTTCCGCTCTCTGGCTTATTGCCGAGATTCCCGTCCCCTCTAGAAACGTTTGGATCGCTTGTTGTCATGGGCCGACGAAGCGGGGACTTGAAGGGCTTTGAAAGCGTCGACTGGGCATCGTTTAGTCGTCGCCGTTTTGCATAAGGTGAAAGATACGACGACATTATATCTGCATTGAGCAGTTTTTACTCGCTGTGGAATAAGCTGCACAGCGTTCCGGAAGGCCACCTGTCTCAACTCGGCTGAGCTGTCGGAGCGAGGTGAACTTCGCTGCGCGTCGCGCGCGACTCGCCTGATTGATAAGATAAGCTCCCGTGCTGTCTGACATCATCTGCAAAACTCCCCACAATACGCCGTACTGTACGGAGTACCCACGGTATTATTACCGGCTGGCCCAACAATACGGAATACCCGCCCGTACTCCGTGCTTCGTATTGTTGTCCACATAATGGCACATGTGAGTGAGTCGTAATCTAAATTTTTACGGAGGACAAACAAGTCCCACAAATTTGCTATCATAATCTCGTATTCAAAACTCCGGGGCGATGCTATTTAGTATATTGAAACAAAAGAGAAAAGGAGAACAAAGCGCAACAAGGAACAATCAACGCCCTATTGCCCCAGCTATCCAAGCCGGGTATTCCGGATCATCAGGAGCTGGGAAGAGCCCTCGATCTTCATCTCCACCTTGTCGGCCTTGCTGTTGGGTTTCGGGGGCACCGCCGGCAGCTGCCTGGCCGGTGGTGTCGCTCGGATTGTTGTTATTGTTACCATGGGCTGGATTATTGGCTCGTCGCATAGCTCTTTGCTGCCGGAAGTGTAAAAGGACCACTAACGTCGCGGCAAGACCGAGAATCACCAGACTTTCAAGCATGCCATCTTCGATATCGAGGTCAAGCTCATCGTAATAGCTCTCCCTGTCTCCCGAGGTGCCACGAGAATCCGCTGTATCTTCGAGAGCATCCTCACCTTGTTCGCCCGCGGCAGCCTGCCTACTTTTCTCTTTTTGGACAGCTTCCCTTTCTTCATCATACGAAACGAAGGCCCTGATCCACTCTTTAAGCGTTCTGGGGGAGTTCTGGTCTAATAAAGTTTCACAGTTAGCTGTTACTGCTAAAAAGATCAAAAATTGAAACTTACCTCGCTCTTCCTGAATTGAATTCACTTTACCATTCGTGATCCTGTTCCAAAAGCTTCTAAGGCGCAACCGTATTAAGCTAAGCTTGACCGGAAGGTAGGCTTCGTCATTTGTTTCCAGAGCCAGGTCGTAATATCGTTTAGCCATGTGAAAGTCTTGCTCGACGGCAATTCCATGCTCATGCATCCATCCAAGATTCCAGAAAGCTTGGGCACTATGATGTCCCTCCGCTGCGCTATGATAACAGCTGGAGGCTTTCCGGAAGTCCTGCGGGGCACCATTGCCATAGAAATAATAGTCACCCATTTTAACGAGCGAATCAATGTTGGCCTGCTTCGCAGACCGAGTCCAGTAAATCAATGCCAGAGCAGCGTTCCGAAGGATAGAGGGGCGTCGGTCTGTCGACCATGGAAGGATAGGATCGAGAGATAGTACGGATCGTCGCTCATCGAGAAGCCAGGCTACGTTCGCTTGTGCGATTTCGTAGCCCTGTTCTGCTGCCATCATTGATAAAACCAGAGCTGTCTCTTTATCTCCACTCTTATAGGCTTCATTGGCCTCGGCAAAGGAGGAGTGTATCTCTTCCACTCTCTCCGCGACCATTTTATAATAACCTGTAGCCATGCCACAGTGACGTTCCTTTCCAATTCCACGCTCGGCTATTTCAGCGAGGAAATAAAACGCCTCTGTTGCACCGTACCTTGCAGCCAGCTCGAAATACCTCGTCGCTGTCGGAACATCTCCTTGATCAAGGAAGAGGGCTCCTAATCTAATTTCTGCATATGGATAATCTGATTCAGAGGCTGCTTTAAAGTACGATGCTGCTTTCAGCGCATCTTGTGGGATGCCGTAGCCATGTAGGTACATTAGCCCCATATAGTGCTGGCACATTGAATCTCCATTTGCCGTCCCACGTTTGAACCATGTGAACGCCTTCTCGAAATTCTGTTCTGTGCCTTCACCCCGGAGGAACATGAGGCCTATATGGGCTGCAGACTTGGAAGCGATCTTCTCGAGGCCCACTGGACGGTTCGGATTGAGTTTTCCATCCTTCATCCAGTATCTCCGTGCAACGATCCCGAAGTACATCATCGATTTCCTCAAGCTCCTCGGCAAGTGTCGAGACCCATCATAATAAAGCTTACCCAAGTTGAATGTCGCTTTCAAATCTCCCTTCTTAGCGAGGAGGTCAAGGTATTCAAGTACATCGTCCAGGTTGGCATCGGAACCTGAATGTACACCATCTTTATGCGCATTCACTCCCGAACTGGACACGCTTGCTCCTTCACCATATACGCCTCCTTCGGCGTCAGCCCAACGGTAGGAGTCTTTTGACAAAGTCCGACCGCCTGGAGGGCCAGACCTGTAGTAAGCAATTGCCTTGTCCGCTACCTGCTTGTAGTAGAACGCAGCTTCATCGCAGTTTCTCGGTGTGCCGATACCAGAATATCTTCTGAATGCCAACGTCATCTGCGACTTGGTGTTTCCTCCCATTGCAGCAAATGTGTGGTATAACAACGCCATGCCCTGGTGTCTTTCAACTGCATCACCAATACCGGTGGCATACATGAAGCCTAGCATGTATTGTGCGGTACTGTTTCCCGTCAATTTAGCCAGCTTTTCGTAGTGTTGAAAGGCCCTTGAGTAATTCCGTGGATGTGTATAATTGCCATAAAAATTCATCTCTGCCAGGAGATATATCGCGTCTGAATTATCGTCCTTGGCGGCACTCTCCAGTAGACTAACGGCATCCTTGAGCTGCGAGCTCATCTTCCGCGGCTGTTTTTGAGTCTGGTTGTCTAGTGGTGGCCCGTTCATAAATAATAGATAGAAGGCTTCCCGGGCATAATGGCGGGCATACCAGAGGAATCCTGAAGGTTGATCGTATTTCCTCGTTGGGATCTTCAAGCGCTGGAGGAGGTTGATGGCGGCGTCAACGGCTGGTTGGCCTGCCAAGTGGTAAAGGAGGGTCAGCATATTTCTGTACATGTCACCTTCCTGGGGCATAAAGCTTACTAGAAGAATCTTCATGCCTGCCGTGGGTAAATTTTAGCCCCAATCCATTCTGCTCAGCGATTACACCACTCTCAGCTGGCTGGGTCGCCGTGGGCGGCGTAACATTGTTCCCTGTCGTGACATGAGCTCCAGCGACCAACAACTGGAATAGAAACACTGTGAGATTATCCCAAAAAGTCAGCAGGGACCTAAACGGCAAGGAGTTGGCGGGGGGCATACGGAGAGCCAAAGGCAAAAGATTCCACTTCCATTGTCGCATCTTCATATCTGCGGAATCAAAATAAAATGTTTGGTTTTGTAGAGCATTGCGACACACTTCAGGTCAACACCATCAAAAGCAACCGGATGCTACACCCGAAGTCATCTTGAGTGTGATTGTCCTCTCCTTCTGACACGCCATGACGCGATTTGGCCACCTCAACATCAACTGGAGCGCCGGAGATACGATTTGCCGATCGCCAACCCGACAAAAGGCCATGTCTTTCTTGTCACCGTTGACAACAGCACTTACAACTAGCCTCAAAGGTCAAGGATACGACGCAGCAGGCTCTTCAGTGACACACCGGCGTGCTCTCTAGAAAGTCGGCTCTTGTCTCTCTGCCCTTTCCGATTGCGACCGACGGTTTGCCCACCCGGATTAGCACTTTCGCCAACCACTCGTTTGAAGCAACCACCCGCTCTACTGCGTCCTGGATTCTGTCCATTCCCAAAATTCTACGGAGAATATATCAGCTATGTGGGCGGACCAAAGACCTACGTAAGCGGAGGTTTATACACATACTATCCGGTCAGCAGAATGTACACTACAACCCTGATACCAAATCGCTCCAGTGGAAAGGCTCCCTGGTGTCGGCCTATTCCTCAAACAACGAACCTGTAAGCTTTCAGGTCTGGAAAAGAACACCGTTCTAGTTGCCTCATCTCACCAGTATCTGATTTTGGAATACTCTTCAAACCAAATATGTGACAGCTGCTCTCAAGCGACATCCCATTTGGATGTTATCATCAACCAATTCCGGGGAGATTCATTGATGTCGCTGCAGGGATGCGGGATTGCTTGACCAGCTTTGCAGATGTCGTCGCATCTCCTCTGTAATCATCGTCACAAACGCAAGACGAATTTCCTTTTCGAGAGAAAGGTCCATGATGGCTCCGTGGTGTCCGTGATCTCCGCAGCCAATTAATAATTGGCTACACAATAGGAAGAGGATATCCTCACCACCCGTTCTCCACGCAAGGGTTCCCGTAGGCAGTTTAGAGAGAAGCTTTTCTCCAGCCCTCCGGTTTGGTCAAGGAGACAAACTAAACTTCCATTGTATATCCACACGACGACTACGTTCAGCCGTACGAAGTTGTCCAGGCCGGAGCTACGTAGTTCTTTCAGTAACTCGGCATCGGCTTCGATACTCGATCCGCGACCCGTGCCTCTCCCCCTCGTACAGCGTAGCCCCATGCATCCCACTCCTAGCACTATGGGTCGAGTCGATTGCGCCCGTATTGAACCCATCTCTTGGAGCTGAAACTTCACGGGGCGGGGAATTTTGCTTTGGCTTGATACCCGCCACTTTTAAAGGAACGTTGCAGCGATTATTCATGTGGATGGATCCTCCGTGCGGTAGCCATGTCTTTGTTATTGAGGCTGCACATAATTAATTACGCGTACATTGCATTCTTCATTGATGTGTATTTAAAGGCCAATCGAATCATACATCGAATCTCAAGAACACCTCCCGTTCACTAACCCCCCTCGGTCCGAGGAAGGCTTGTTAAATTGTTCAAACCATAAAAAGCACATATTTTCCCCCGCCCGCACGCACACACTCAAGATCTAACACACCCTAGTTTCATTCGAAAATGAGTGCTGAAATCAACTTTACCACCTTCCGCAATGTTATCAACGGCAAGTTGACATCAACGGAGAAAACCCGTCACGGTATCAATCCTGCCACGGGGTCACCAAACCCAGAAGTCCCAGTGTCCACGCCAGCAGACGTTGATGCTGCCGTTGACGCCGCTCAGGTCTCTTTCAAGTCATGGTCGAAGACTCCTGTAGAGCAACGCGAGAAGGCATTGCTTGGCTTTGCAGCCGCACTAGAGCAATATAAGGAGACATTCAGCAAGCTTCTCGTACAAGAGCAGGGAAAACCTGTGGGTGATTTCGCCTGTCGTTTATGCATGAAAGCAAGCTAATAATTCCCCCTTATTTTTGGTGGTCTGAATAGCTCTTTCTCGCCATCGGTGAGATCAGTTCTGGCGTAGAGTTGCTTCGAACCAGCGTCAAAGCCAAACTTGAACAAGAGGTTGTTGAAGATACGGAAGAACGACAGGTGATTGTCCGCTATACGCCACTCGGCGTCGCTGTGGGCATCGTGCCATGGAACTTCCCGTTTATCCTCACACTCATGAAATTAGCCCCGGCCGTCTTAACCGGAAATGCCATCATCATAAAGCCTTCCCCATTTACCCCTTACTGCGGCTTGAAGATTGTTGAAATCGCGCAGCAATTCTTCCCACCTGGCGTTGTCCAAGCGCTCAGCGGCGATGACAGCCTAGGTCCTTGGTTGACGGCACACCCTGGGCCTGCTAAGATCAGTTTTACGGGATCATCCATCACTGGAAAGAAGGTTATGGAGAGCGCAAGCAAGACCTTGAAAAGAGTAACCCTCGAACTGTATGTATCGCGTGTCTGTAACGCACAAGTGACAAGCTCTAATTGCATATAGTGGCGGAAATGACCCTGCTATAATCTGTCCCGATGTAGATGTCGACATCGTTGCACCTCAAGTATGCTGGCTTCCCTGGAACATATGTCCATAACTGCTAACATACTTCGGTAGATTGCCATGAGAGCTTTTGCAAATTCAGGACAAGTATACCTCCACCCGCCTCACTCGCGATAGATCTCCGCTTACAGGCTTTTGAAATCTGTAGATCTGTATCGCCATTAAGCGTATCTATGTTCATGAATCCATCTATGAGAAATTCCGAGAGGCAATTATTCGCGCCACTGCAGCCTTTAAAATGGGCGAAGGCAATGAGCCTGGTGTCTTCCTCGGCCCCTTGCAGAATTCCATGCAATTCGAAAAGGTGAAGACATTCTTCGCCGAAATCGAAAAACAGAACTGGAACGTGGCAGTTGGTGGGAAGAGCGACCTGGGAAAGCCCGGATACTTCATCGAACCCACGATCATTGATAGGCCTCCCGAAGATTCCAAGATCGTCGTGGAGGAGCCGTTTGGTAAGTACCAAATCTCCTGCAGTGACACGGTGTATATTTCCGTCAATTAGTATGGAAACTGCTGACATGTCTTAGGACCCATTGTTCCCATGTTAACCTGGAATAACGAAGCTTCCGTTATTGAAGCTGCAAATAACACTAAGTGGGGTCTTGGAGCATCAGTATGGTCGAATGATCTCGAGCAAGCACGTCGAATCGGCGACCAGATCGAGTCCGGCACCGTGTGGATAAATACTCATCAGGACTCGTGTTTTCTGGCGCCATTCGGCGGACACAAGGAGAGTGGCATTGGCTTTGAGGGTGGTGTTGGTGGATTGAAGAGCTATTGCAATGCACAGACAATCATTGTCAAGAAGAAGTTGTAGAAGTTCAGGCGACAACATGGTTAGGATGGGTTATGCACGCACATACATGTTCCAGGAGTCATCTGCTCAGAAGTATATCAGTTAATGAATGCAACTCCCATAAGCAAGATTGGTCTCCAATATTGCCATGAAAGCATCCGCAATGTTAAACCCCTGGTGTACTGGGAGTGCTAGAATGTGACTAATATCACTTTGGGAACGGGCTGCTTCTACTAGCCAAGGAAGCCAAATGGTGCTTCAGGCTTCATCACATCAGTCATGAATTTTTGGATAAGCTGTCTGAAGAATTGAATTGGAATTGGTCCTATCCAGTAAGAGAGAAAAAGAAAAAGAAGGAAAAAAAAAAGGGAGGAGGAGGGGGGGGGGGGGCACAGCAGCAGGAAAGTATAACACAAAAGTGTGAAGAGTTGGTGTGAAGAGTTGGGAGCTTGAAGATATGTAAACTCAATCTTCAGGGGGGTCGATCATCGGTTTGTGCATCTGCTGGCAGTCTTCCGTCTTGCCAAGTTTTCGACTTCTTACTCGACGAGCCGAGTCGAATTCTCCGCAGACTCAGGATTTCGCTTAGCTTTGTAAGTCTGCACGCTGGATAGCGTTGGGTAAGAAACAAACGATTAACTACCCAAGGCACCCATTGAGTGCTTCAAGCGGTATCTGGCAGCAAACGATTTCTTCCACGACGAATCCATTTTTTTCCATTTTTTTTTTTTTTTTTTTTTTTTTTTTTCATCCGGCCTCTGGGAAGAAATCGAGGGGATTGATGGGTATCTACGGAGTACGGAGCACGAAGTACAATGTTGAATGAGTTCGCAGGACAAAAGTTTCAGCGACGAAGCGAAGTGCCGGCACCCGTTCTCGGCTCCGCCAACTTTCTGGTGTGGGTGTCTGTCACTTTGATTGGCTGTACTCCGGGAGATGTGCACAGACGAACACGCCAGGCGGGATGAGCCGTCCGAGATTTGGGGCAATGCTTAATTTGACTCACTCGCTAGCTTCGTTGGCCAATTGAAAATTCCCAACGGCTGGGATGGTGATCCTTGGAGCGGAAAAGGGTCGTAGCACGGTTTCTTCGAGTTGACACGAAAGCTGGAGACTTAGATAACAGATATGTCAAATGATAAATATAAAATTATACGCGGCTGCGTCTTGTCACTAGTAGCATAGGAGATATGCATCGAAACCTACTGGATACGGTACATGTTATCCAGGGTTTGAGACGAAGGCCTTGGGTACTAAGGTGGGAACCCGGACGGGCTAGCTAATTCCGCGCGTGACCTCAAAAAAATCGAAGCAAACAAAACGGTGTTGTCAGTAAGGTTTGTATCGTTTATCTTTATGCCGCTTTTCTTTCCGCGTTTCCTTATTCCTCGAGTGTTTCCCGTCATGAGCTTGTGAATCCGGGCGGGTCTTGACTTTGGGCTCGTCTGCAGATTTTGTGTCACTCTGTATGATCATCTCGCTGTCTTCTCTCCATAATCGTACATGGCCATCTTCTCCACAGGTGAAGACAGTCTGAGACTGCGGCAAGTTAGAATGTATGCTTATTAGGCAGCAAATGAACTGCGTATTCGGAGGGATAATTGTGATTTACTCGGAACCTGACTAACCTGACTGTCCAATAACATGGAACGAACGATTTCTTCACCGTGTGCGCCTGGCAGTCGCCAAACCTTTGCCTGATCAAAGTGAAACTCTGGTGAGGCGACAATAGGTACCAAGTCAAGTGTTTGCTCCCTAGTTTACGCAAACGAGGTTAGACGAGCTGAGAACACAGGCCTGTAACTCAAAGGCCAAAGCATCCCAGAATGTGCTGTTTAATTACCTGGTGCTTCCCACAGCGGCATATATCCCTCCATCAACCAAAATGTCCACAGCATAATCACAATGTAATGCAGAGCGAAGATCACCGAACTGAATAGGAGCAGGCTCCACTATGTTTTGATCAGGATCGTTAAATGGGTGGATTGAGAAGACTTCATCATGGCTGAGGGCATAAATGGCCTTATCTCCAATGAACCCGGCATGATGAATCGATCCATGGTTGATGATCTGCAGCAGTGCGTCGTCTTCCTCTGCGATCGTGGTATTGTAGACATTAACAAGGCCATCAGTGCTTCCAGAGAGAAGCACATCGTTGCGGGTAGGATGGTAACACAGCTAACAAGGAAAAGGACCCCGACCGGAGAGTATTTAGTGACAATTTTCATTAGGGCCTGCAGGGGCCACGGCCTCCTGCCTTTGTAAACAGTGACGCAGGAATGGAGTTGACACACCTCGGTTATATCATCATTGTGGCTCTCTACATATTGCATGCGAGGTTGACCCGGTGATCTAAGGTCCCTGAGATTGGACGATTAGCAGGTCCGCCGCTGCAGTGTTGCCGTGTGACAGAGCAAACATCCCACAACTTGGATGAGGTTCCTTCATCCACGGACGGAATGAAATCCTTGATAGGAAAGTCAGGGAGTGATCAGAAACTGAGTACTCTTACCAGAAAGACAGTGCTGCTTGCGCAGATACCAATTCGCTACCTGCAACTATGCTGTATATTGCTGGGTTACATGCGAGTGAAAGAAGAGCGGGTCTCTTATCTATAAGATGCCGGGCTTGATCAGCACTTGGAAACAAACAAGAATTATCTCTATAACCACGGAAAAGATTCAGATGACCCGGACAAAAGCAATAAGTTTACGCTGCATCGATCAAGGATTGCTGGGGCTCAAGAAAACACAAAGCAACCAACCCACCATTTCCGGTCAAAAAAACGGAAACAGCGCCGTGATTCATCGCCCTACTATCCCAGAGCCTTACGGTTCCATCCCTTCCTGAAGTAGCCAGCAGGGGACCGGCTTCGGAAATGGCTCCATCAACCGCGCATAAACAAGTGACCCCGCCATTGCTTCCGGAGTGAACATCCGTGACCACTCCATCGGGTAGGAGTTTCAAAGTCTGCCGATCAAAACGCCGCAGCGAGTTATCTGATGAGATGGCAGCCAACGCATCACTGCCACTCCGGCATAGGGAATAGATGTAGCTCCCTGCTGGCAAAGATAGAGAACCCTGGCCCTGTTGACGCAGCAAGTTGAAAGATGCTGAGGCTACCATGAGTGGAACCCAAGTATGTTGAGATTTGTTTGTGTACTAGGAGAATATGAATGGATTGGTTGGTATCAAGACCAAGCCGTCGTCAGTGAAGTCCCGTGCGAATCATCTCGCTGTCAGTGAAAAAAAAAATACATGTTGTGATCTGGCACTAGTAAGTTTACCTGAAATCTGAATACAGAATGCAATACCTAGCCTGTACTCTGTACCACCATTCTATGTTACCTGGAGCATGTATGGAGTGTGTATGGATGGTACTCTATAACTGATGTTCATGTGTCCTAATAGACACAAATGCAAAAAGTGTTCCACTTCCATCCTCAACTTGATGCATCATGTCTATCAAATGTACGTATTTTGTTACATGATTGCTGGAGACAGATGATCGCTTGGCTTGGTGTAGGTGATGGAAGGGAATGGGGTTCTGCGGCCACTACTTCAAGTCCAGGGTTATTCCCAAGATTTAATGGACAGATGAAGCCCAAAGGTAAAAAAAATGAACGTGAGTGCTCCAGAAAGCCAGGATTCAACATTGGCCAACAGAAACCGATGTCAAAACTTGCCCTGTTACTGCTGCAAGGCAGGGGAAAGCGCTAGTGAGTACATTACATTACGCAATACTAGTACTATATTACAAGGCTGTGTATGGAGTACAGAGTACAAAAGTACGTTCTCCATTTGGATGTGCAGAGGGGCGGCTCTGTGCTTTTCATGGCAAAAGGATCCTTTGGAAGGATCTTTACCTGGAGGGTGTACCCTGTGAAGGAGCTTTCACTTCTAATAAAGCAATATTCAATGCATTATTACATGCATGTAGAGAGTATGTGCGCAAAGGGACCCCTCCATCCGTCGTACATACACACCCCCCGTGCATGGCAGGCATTTTCCGCCACCCTTTGGAATGTTCTTGGAGGCTTCGATGCCGAACCAACCTCTACACTCGCTTACCTAATCAACCCCAATGCCAAGAGCCGCCGGCGGCTCATGCAGCGCGCCCTCAACTATGATTGGTGACCGATCTCGCGGGACGCGTGAAGGAGGATGGATCAGCGGAGGATGAATCATGCCTGTCCGCTCGCTTGTGGCGGGATGCACAACGGATGAACGAACACATAACACCTGGAGCTAAGATTCGCCTTGTCTCCCATGGAGTTTCAGCGTGGACCTTCTCCGCTTATTGCGAAGGGATACAGTGAACTCTCACTTGCTCTCAGGCCGGTGCCAGGTTGTCGCGGTAACTCCAGATGGCTGGCTGAACGACGTGTCCCTCCGCTCATAATCTGCCAGAGACATGTATTACTCCATGGGGCCCAACAGGCTTTGTCGGTTCCTCGGCAGTTAGGTTTGTATGTATGGGGCACATACAATCTCGACACCATTCTGAAATCTGAAACCTCTCCGCTCAAGAAATTGATCATGCTGCATGCTTATTGAAGTGTCAACTCGACATCATTGAATCCACCGAGGTGACTTAAAGTGGGGATGTTAGGGAAATGGTTTAAAAACGACTGTGTTGTTCTCGTCCCAACCAGCTAACTCCCCTGTCGCTGCAAAGAAGCTCACTTCACTGCGGCTGACGATCAACCACAAACTAATCACCGAGGCGCCGAATCAAAGCTCCTCACGTTTCATCCTTGCATACCCAACCATTAATATCATGTGCCCCGCAAGTCAAGAGGAACAGCATGGATGGCTCAAGCTTGCAACGCCACACCCAAAATTTCATGCGGAGTCGTTCCTTCTCGTATGGATGCAGAGAGCCAGCAACGAGCAGGTATCTCTCTGCTTCGTACATACATATATGTACGTACACTAACTCGAAACACAAGCCGGTTCGCATCATACTTGCATGAACAAGGTATTGAACGTCGCTATGTGCCGTTTCGCCCGTTTCTATAGCTAGTCTGAAGGTCGAGGGTACGAGGAGTTGGGCAGTCATCCGTGGAGCGCGAAAGTCCGCCTTGATCTACGTTGCACGGCACCCGATCCCCGATGCAAGGGCCAGAGTGTCAGGGTCCAATGCAGTATCGGCTCCAACCCCTGGAAACGCTTCACTTCATGCTTTGGGCAAGACGTATGAACACACCTAACATACATCCAAATTTGAGTCATTGGCACAGTAGCAGGGATCCATATTGCAGATGCAAATCTACTGTTCGTATGTGCTCTGCGAGATGAAGCGCATATCCCCGCTTGCACCTCTGACATTGGAAATGCAATCACTACCAATAAGGAGGCGAACTGCGAATGGGTATGTAAGCTCATGCCACGATGAAGAAGTCATTGGCGCAGCTCAACAATCCACAAGCAAACATTGTGAAGCCAATTCGTCCCCTTTTTGGTGTCGCCCACTGTGTCGTGACCCTCCCCCAACCCTCGATAATTGAGCCGTACCAAAAGGCTCGTACCACAAGGAGAGCTGGGTAGTCTTATCGCTCCTCAAACAAGACTTGTTGGACAGAGGCATCACCACGATTGTGACAGGAGACGAGAGAAGCCGACGAAGCAAAAAGTGAGAAAAGCAACGGACGTATGGAGGATGCACCGAGCCAACTTGGTCCCCCCCCCCCCCCCCCCCCCCCTTTTTTTTTTTTTTTTTTTTTTTTTGGTCCCTTTAACTCATCGCAAATGCTCACCGCTGGTTACCTGCGCCGTTAGAAATTGGAGAAAATTCCAGCTATAGCAAAGCCACTGCGAAAATATCGCCCCTGGAACCTTGTTGAGCATGGATGTTCCACTTGCAGGATGCAGGGATGGATCTGACCAAGTTAGCGAATGGGGATGATCCGTATGTATGTAAATCCAAACATACATACATACAATGAAGATGCCGTCCTTCAATGGTTGATGAAGTCTTCTTGTCTTCATGGCGATTCGGCGCTGCTCCTCGACCCCTTGGTGTGAGGTCCTCAAGAAAGCAACTCTCGCAAGCTGAACAGTCCTAAAATCAGAGAAGTAAATAACGAACTCAATAACTTACATACATCGTCAACACTTGGACAGCAGCAGAACCGTATCCCTGCTTTGCTTCAGGGTCTCACCCATGCCAAAATTCCTCCTTCGTCAGCTCTCGCTAGCTGCTTTGAGTTTGACATGATCGGATTTTATTTCGTGCTTCTCCTCTCACATACGCCACCAAGGCTGACACATCATCAATAAGCCCATTCGAATCAATGAGTTTGTGCGCTGGAGTTCTGCAGGCCATGAAGAACACACCCGACTTTCGTATGCGTTGCACGCCTGCCATACATACACAATATACATGCAAGTACATCGTACTGATGGCGTATTTGTCGGTAATTCTCTCTTGGCTCCGTAATTAATGACTCCCTTCCGCTCTGGGCTATTATCATGCAGGCCGAAATTGGTAACGCGCATTGATTGGACTTCACTCCGCAATACCGCCCATCCACCCATGGTACTGAAGGGAAGCCAGTATTATCCTTCCCACGTCTCCGCCCGCAACCATTCCGTTGGGATCGTACATGGCGGGAGCTAGACGATATTCGGCATGTGAACGCCTAGAAGCCTTGTGTTTCATTCAGCCTGTTTGCCTGTCCTCATACCTTGAATTTTAGTTGCCGCAATGCAGGCGAGTGGAACCGAAATGTTTGGTCATGCCGTTGGGGACAACATGTCGATTGACTCCATACGCCGTACTCCAAACGGACTCCTGCTCACTCGTCGAGCAGGCGAAGTACCCGATCTTCCCAGATTCCTACTTCTGGCTGCTGCATCAGTTCATGCATATCTCTTGGTGAAATCCTCTGAACGTCGTGCTATTGGCTCTTTGCAAAGAAGGTTCTCATTAGGGAAAAGCGAAGAGATCTTGCGACTCCGTATTGGCAGACTCGCTGGGTAAAGGTCTCGTCGCTTGAGCCGTCAACCCAGGATGTAAGGCACTTCCTGAATTTCGCATCGACGAAGGATTATCGGCTCGATCCCAAACAATAGTCACCAGGCATGTATCGGTACTTCCTACTTGGTTAGAGTTTGCCGCCCGATTTGCCAGCCGCTTTTCGCGATAATTTCAATGTACGAAATAAAGCCTAAGCTGAAAACCGACGCCAAACTAGCAAGTTAACCCACCACTAGCGAGCACCAGTCCTTTTTTTTGTGTTCAGTTCCTTGATTCATGCTTTTTATTTTTATTTTTTTTCCCCCTTTACGGATTTAATTCCAACTGATCCACCGACTGGTGAAGGTTGGGGGTTGTCCCGAGGTTACCTCGTTCCACCGTGCTGCTAGGCGTGAGTATCCGGGAATTCCATTCGCATTTCTTTGGGTCTGAAGATCGGAATCAGGAGCCAGGAATAACTTATTGTTCCCCAGGTACCCTTTCGCGTTTGGAAACTTAACAGTGCAGGCGTGGAGTTATCCTAGTCGGTTTCCGTATAATAGGGCTTAACTCGCCGTAGTGTACCAGACATTGTAACGGAGAATCACCCGTCGTTCGGTTGACCCAAAACCGGTTGCTTTTCTATATATTAAACTTGCCGCGTTTGTTCTCGCCTCCTTGAAAAAATTGGTCCATGGAGTGAAGCTATCAGATCTTAATTACACCTTGTGCCTGATGTGTTGTAAGATGCTCGCTGCTGGCCCCTAAGAGACAGGCACAGCCCACTGGGCAAGAGTCAATGCCCTTTTTTTTATCGTCAGGCACTGCCGCCTTTTGCCCTAACGTCCCCATTCCCCCTTGTTCGTGTATCTTGATATATCCCTGCGCATCCGTCAGGTCCCTGCAACTCGGCACATCGTCACCAAAAACACCATCAGGCTGCCCTAGCGTGTATCTTATACCCACATAAATGCTCATCAGTTAAAAGGCATTCCTGTCCACAGCATGTTCTGTGCAATGCCCAGTGTTGATCGATGTGAAAAAGATTTAACTTACGACAAAAGAAAAACAGGGCTTGCATTCCTCTGCATAACATAACAGGCTGGCTGCATTTTGATGGTGGTCTCTCCTCCATCTTTTAACTCTACATATTTTCTTTGGGCTCCACCAGGTCACGTCCGCGTCCGCATCCGCATCCCTCTCCCACTTTTTTATATACCCTTCGCTTTGGCGGTCGAGATTAACATTTGGCAACCATCCTTCCGGTGTGCCCCTGTCCCTCTTCCTTTTCTCCCGAAAGCCATTGGGGACATTGAAATCACAACGCCTGGAAGGGGACCAGGGAGCAGGGAATCGGAAAGTAATTGTTTGTGTTTCTTGTTGGTAACCCGACCTTGCAGATGTCGTATTATTGTATTGTCAGCTGACTTTGCCTGCATATCTTTCTGGACCCTTTTTTTACCCTTTTCAAAAAATTCCCCCCGGCCTTTTGCCCGTTACGTTCTTTTTGAATTGCAGGGACTCCTCTGCCTCTCTTCCCAGTGCCGGTTGTTCTCCACTTACTCAGCCCAGCTGGCACAATTCAGAGGCGTCGAGAACATGGACATATCATTCTTGGCGGGTGTTCCTCGCCAAAATCAAACCGAGGAAAGACGCACATCTGACAATGGCATTCCGCCGGTGCCGCGGGGGACTCAATTGTGAGCTGACCCTCTCTCTCTGGCTTTTTCCCCCCGCCTCCTCCTCGGTCGCCAGCAAATGTGGCGACTCCAACCAAGACTTGCAAAGACATCTTGCAAATGCTAGTATGACGGTGCTAACCTGGGAATTATGGGTTTAGGTCGCGCGAACTTGAAGACTATCCAACTTACCTGGAGAATGGACGCTGGTATCATGGCTATCGACGAGGACAGTACATGTTTCCCTGTGATGAGCTGGAGCAAGACCGCCTGGACCTATTTCACAAGCTTCTCCGCGTAGCCAGACACGAGAAACTTCACTCTGCCCCGATAAGGATTCCGAACCGGGCATCTTCGGGCGATCCGGGGCCTCGAATTCTTGACCTTGGTTGCGGGACGGGGATCGTACGTAACTCTGCCCCGCATGCATGCTTTCCGTCATGATTGCTGACCAGTTTGCCTCGAGACAGTGGGCCATGGACATGGCAAGAGCGTATCCGCAAGCACAGGTGCTGGGAGTCGACCTGGCACCTATCCAACCGTCAAACCCACCGTCAAACTGCACCTTTTACTCACCGCGAGATTAAGAGAGCCCATGGCTTCTGGGCGAAGACTCCTGGGACTTCATTCACCTGCAGATGGGATGCGGCAGCGTCACGGACTGGAAGAATGTGTATCAGAAGATCATAGCACACTTGAGACCCGGGACCGGATATTTTGAGCAGGTTGAGATCGATTTCGAAATGCGGACTGACGGATTCACTCTCGGGCCCAACCACCCACTTTCTGTCTGGTATCGACTTCTGAAAGAGGCCACTGAGGCTGGGAAGAGACCAATTGCCTTTGACCGCAGGACGATTTCGCGATTGGAAAGCGCCGGCTTTGTAGACATCACCCACGATGCGGTACCGTTGCCGCTCAGCATGTGGGGAACAGACCATGACTCAATGGAAATAGGGAAATGGTATAGCCTTGCATTTTCCGAGAGCGCGCTGCCACTCCTTTGGGCACCACTCAGTCGAATGAAAAACATGTCATTTGATGATATCATGCGTTTGGCTCAGCAAGCAAAAGTGGAGGCGTACAAGAAGGATATAAGGGCATACAATGTCCTTCATATCTTTACAGCAAGGAAACCAACGTAATTGCTGCGACGGCTAAGCGTGGCCTGGCTGAATACACATGCTGACGCTGGCATGTTCGGCAGACTAGAAGAAATCTAGTCTCAGAATGGCCACCGACCCCCTGCTCGGGAAATTGGTGAAATTGGCTCTCCGTCGCACCCGTCCCTTCTTTCGAATCAGTCCTAATCCAATGGTTCTCTTTTGCGTCGCCAGTTGACCGGTCACGCCCAGCCATAAAACTATGGTATATTCGGCTCGAGATGTTCTGATAGCCTTTGCTTGACTTAGGCATGGGAACAGCTGGCCAAGTTTGCCGCAGACTTCTCTTCCAGAATATAGAGTCAACCATCGTCAGTTCGATTAGACTGATTTTATGAAATGCCCCGTTGTGATTTGGCCGGTCGCTGTCGACATTCTCCGTGTATTCGTTTGCCGAGTCGCCCTTATACTCGAAGCTGCATGGATATCACTTGCTCTCGGTACGGATCTCGCCAGTTACTTCATGTCTCCGAGACTTTAGGAGCCCCAGTAATACATCGCCTGGAAAGACGATATTCTGGGCCAATAAGTATCAAAGAAACGGCCAATGGCGTCTTTTGGTAAGGCAGATCTAAAAGTCGGCTCAGCTGATCTCGTTTAATAGCTCACCTCTGCCAAAATCTTCCTAGTCCTTTCGTCCAACTTCTTAAACAGAGCATCTGTCCTGTTTTATCTACAGTACTTTTGGCTTTTTAATCTTCTGTCATACCTACTAAACCTTTGTTTGTTGTGCAGATATGCCTCATTTTGCATGGTGCTTAGGAAAAGGTTAAAAGAGCATCTAAAAAAATAAAAAAATGTTGGGATTGATCTCTTTGTCTCTTTAAAGATTCGCTTTATTTGTGATCAACGTTTTTTCCTACTTTTAAACTCTTCATTATTATTACTTTGCATTTTCACTCCTATTGTCCGCCATGATATGATGTCGCTATTCTGGGCCTATTTTTCCTGACATGACTTCCGTTGCCATGACTAGCATTATACCCATTAGCAAATATTGTTGTGGATCCAAAGATCTTTGGCATAACCCGTGTGTGATTTCCATTTTGCATCTCTGGCTATATACATGATTGAATGCCCCAGTTTCTTGTCTCATTTTTGATATGTTTTGATATTTTGGGGTTTGGTTAGAGATACTCTGCTCTTGATGTCTGGTAGACTAGGAATTAATATATAGGATCAGGTGTGATATGTTCCTTTTTGAAGATTCAAGTTCTGAGCCAAATATGCGTCTTTGGAGAAGTGAGGGATGGCATGACGTCGGGTTAAACTTGGAACAGTGATCTCGTTATCTTTTCCTGGAACCATCCAGTCGGGGAACAAGGAGCCCCCTTTCCGATAGGATTCGTCCCGACAGTCTGGCTCTTGCTCTCGGTCCCTTCCCTTATACGGACATCGATGAACTCAAAACAATGCCCGACCCATTCTCTCGGGACAGCTTCTATTGCTCCAACCGAAGGAGGTACACGTGTATTGTGCTGGGTTACACAGGGATATGGTGGTATCGAGGGGTCGGCGAAAGCCGTGTGTTTCTTCGCTGGTCTGGGCCCGCGGCACTCGGGGAATTGGATATCGATCCTTCACCCCTTTTTTTTTTTTTTTTGTCACGTCTTCAACTCCTAGTTTGGACACGAGTTGGCGCAAATGCCCTGTCCTATCGGAAGTCCCCGACAAATTTATCATCCGGTAAACTGCGCACTTCCGTTTTAGCCTTAGCTAAGGAAGCTAAACATTGCTTTTGTGTTTTGCTGGAGATCTGAACTTTTCCAGGAATACGGAGCAGCCACTTATTTAATTCGTGGCTCTGATATTCTCCGCTTCCAATCATTCGTCTACCTCCGGCGACCCCGATTTGATCCCCTCGAGACGCCGTTGGCAACAGCACTACCCCGACGACTGTCGGTATCATCGAAATTCTCACTCGTGTTCCCACTATTCATCCACTCTCTTCCTGCCGCGGGGCTTTTCTTTCTCATTGTCCCCGGCCCGATGGCCACAATATCATTTTCGCTTTCGCTGTCCGAAATATCAAGTAAGACTGGCATTCGAAATGCTTCCACCCCATCCTCGTCTACCTCCCCTTTGACGGGTTCGATTGTTAACACATCTGGTTCCTCGTCTTCCAGATCTAATCGGCGCTGGTGAACTTCCTCAGCAGGGTGAATATCGTACTCGTCCTCGCGCTCAACGTATATCACGTTCTCTTCGACTTCCTGAAAGTCAGGGGCCAGTGCAGACCATTTCTGTGGCGTCACGATCGACCAGGTGTAGATACAACCGGATTCTAAGCCGCATGCCGCGACCATGGGCCTACTCGGATGCCATTCTACAACCCCAAGTTCCTCCTTCGGACCTTCGAGAATTTTGACAAGGGAACCATGGCTACGCTCCCAAACGTAGATGTCGTGGTTCATGAACGTTGAAGCGGTGACAAACTCTCCGGTTGCGGAAAATGCTACGTGATTCCAGCTTAATCTGTTCACCACATCTTGGAACTTGTGTTCGATCTCGAGTTTGATGGCTGACGGGTCCAGGCTGACGCCTAACTGGGAAAGATCTGGCATTAAGATTGTTCGGATTACTCTGTCCGAACTATTTACGAGGAGATCACGTCCATTGCTAGCAAGGCGGAGGAGAATCACAACTCCGTTGCAGAGACGAGTCGAATGGATCGTTTTGCACGTTTGTGTTTCGATGATATTGATCCAGCCCTTGGAGCTTCCCGCCAATATATGGTTTCCTAGTGCAGTAAATATTGTAACGCACGTCGATTGCTTGGCGTCTTGGGCGGCTTGCTTTGCAGCGGTTGCAGGATCCACGTTCTCCACGTTCGGCCGTAAAGGTGCCGATGGAAGAATACGCTTCACGGGTTTAGGCGAACTAATATCCACCAGGACTGGGTGGTCTTCGAATAAGGATGCGACGAAAAGCCAGCTAAACTCGTCGTCAGCTTATATGTTCCAGGCTATCGAAATTTAGTCCACATACTGATTAAAAGGATGGAGCTCCGCGATGTAAACCGGCGCCTCGAATCTCACAGTTCTAACCCTTGAGCCGTCTTTCATATCCCAAAGCACACATTTCCAGTCTTGGGAAGAGCTCAAGAGGTATCTCCCACATCGCGACCAACTAGTGTATAGGTATTAGCTTTTTTTCCGATACTCCTTGTAGCTATAACGTAGCAATACCTTAACGACTGGATCTGTTTACTGTGTCCTCGTAGCTTCCTAGCAACACCGTTTGTTTCCACGTCAAAGATCACTATCGTGCCATCCACCTGAATAAAACACTGTTAATCGGAATTCGCACTAAGGTGAGGGACGAGCAATCCTCACCCGGCCGGACGCAAGAAAATCGCCTTTCCCGTTAAAGCGAAGACATGTCGCATGCCCACTACCTAGAATTCCTCCAGTTAGCTTCCTGGAGTGGAGATATGAAACAGCAAAACTGTAGAATCAGGCCGTACGGAGTGTTCCTGTCAAAGAATCGGGGTAATCCTGAGCTAAAGCGAAAGGATCAATGAGAGCGAGATTCATGGCGGTTTCCGGCAGTAGGATAAAGCATTTATATCCTGGATAACGATATATAAATGGTTGCAAGGGGAATCAAAGAGATGAAATGAAAAGAAAAAGGAAAAAAAAAAAAAAAAAAAAAGGAAGGGCTATTTGACAGAGTCCATCTTGGATTAGTTTTGCTGGACGAGTTGCAGGTGAAGAGCTTCAAAGCACCCAGGACTATCACCAATTCGTGGGGAAGCGTCGATTTTGACACGCTAGTCCGAAAAGGTGTGTCCGACCGCAGGCTGACCAATCAGCGCCCACGAGGCTCCCCGCCAATGTGGCTGGTGGCTCGGAGTAAGGCAGACTTAGTCAGCTTTCCAGCGAGGCTAGGCTCGAAAGCGAAAAACTCGAGCTAAAGCCCAGCGCAGGTCGCAAGTGAGGCAAGACTCAGACAAACCTCCTTTCATCAACATCCTCCGTCCTCTCACCAACCACAACGACACGGAGATATCGCGTTCTGTATCGTGATATATCTTTTGGCATTTGCGGAATCTGTTCCATCGGCGATTTTGCTCGTCCACGGCTCGACGTCGCGTCCTTGGCGAGTTCGAGAGGGTTTTCAGGCCGCCCTCGTGGCACGGTCTGCCAGAAGGCCGGCAGCAGGCCAAACATCGCGGTCATCGGCTTCATTATCGTGAAGCGCCTGTCCTTAACGTCCGTTTACACGCCTTAATTGGCTTGGTCTTGGAGAATCACTTTTGTTGGCGCCGCTTACCTTCGCTTGTGTTGTTTTGAGATCCTGACCTTCTCTATCTTTCTCTGCCATCCCGATAGCGCGACCTTCCTCACGCAACATCATGGCTTCCGTAAAATTTCCGTTCTCTAAGGCGCCTTTGCGCACCATCAAAGAGATCCAGTTTGGTCTTCTCTCCCCAGAAGAAATCAAACGGATGAGTGTGGTTCACGTTGAATATCCGGAGACGATGGTTAGCCTATCCTACCCCAAACAGACAAACCTCCAGTGGTGCAATGCTAACATAATATGAACTCCAGGATGAAGCAAGACAGCGCCCTAGAGAGAAAGGTCTGAATGATCCGCGACTTGGTACTATCGATCGAAATTGGCGTTGCGCCACCTGTGAAGAGGGTATCAACGACTGCCCAGGTCATTTTGGTCATATTGAACTGTCCACACCGGTCTTCCATATTGGTAAGTGCTTCACATCTCCGGCATCCTAGATCTGGCGGATCACTGATGTTTCGTAAATAGGTTTCTTGACCAAGATCAAGAAGCTCTTGGAGACTGTTTGCCACAACTGTGGAAAGATCAAGGCCAACACGGTTAGTCATCCCTTCTGGGATGGCAAAATCTGAACTGGCGATCATTGCTGACATGTTTCTCTTCGTTCAGAGTGACCAGAAATACTTAGATGCTCTCCGTTTCCGCGACCCCAAGAGGCGCTTTGATGCAATCTGGCGGCT